GCAGCGAGGGCGACGGGATTACGGGGCTTTCGCAGAGCAGGTGAGACGCAGAGGTCAGCTGGGAACAGGAGGCCTGGGCAGGTTTCAGCAGTGACGAGCAAGATCGGAACCCCCTCCGGCTCAGTCACCCGCACCTGAAAATCTCTTAAAGAAACACTCCCCAGATGTGGGAATTCTCTGCCCGCCAGGCGCGTCGCAGCGCTCACTGCAAACAAGCGTTCAACAACCGAGGAACAGGTGCCTGCCGATCGATGGGGTCATTGGGCCGATCTTGCTTAGCCACATGGAGAGGGCTCACAGTAATGAGTGGAAAAGAAATCGGAGGAGAGAACCAGGCAAATACTGGCATTGGAGTCCTGTGAAGTATGTACAGGGTACTTCCAGAAGTTCATGCCAAAACAGGGTTAAAAGACGAGTTAATTTTGGTGCAAAAAACTTGGAATCCGTGCATGGCTTTTTCAGAATGCACATTTCCCGTGAACTTTCCCTCGTATGAAAAGACCCAAAGCATGGGAAGGAAGTCTCTCCAGCTTTGCACGGTTGTTAGGGTGGTGGCATTAGGTCTTTTTTCCTTTTTATGTTTTCCAAGGTGTCTGTGGTGCACAGTCAACCCGGGTTGACAGTTTATAAAGCAGCTCATTTAAAACAGGATGGGGAAGTGTGAGTGTTTGCGGACCTGGCGGGGGCCGGGTCCTCCCCAGGCTGCCCCGCGCCGCGCACGCCGTCACTGCAGTTTCCTCAGCCCACACCTCCCAGCATGCCTGGTCGGCTCCATGCAGCAGGTGAACAGAAGGATCGCGGAGGTCGCCCTGCTGCCCAGCCTGCTGACCTGCCGCCTGGTGAGTCACAGCCGGGCGGGCCAGGCTCCCAGCCTCTTCAGGGTGCGGCTGTGCCCTGGGGGCCTCTCCGTTTGTTCAAAAGCACATTTGCACAATTGAGGTCTCAAAGTTAATTTTTAAAAAAAGATTTAGTTATTTGAAAGGCAGAGTTACAGAGAGAGAGAGAGAGATCTGTCCTCTGGTTCACTCCCCAAATGGCTGCAATAGTGGGGGCTGGACCAGGCCAGAGCCAGGAGCCAGGAGCTTCTTCCAGGTCTCCCACGTGGGGTGCAGGGGCCCAAGGATTTGGGCCATCCTCTACTGCTCTCTCAGGCACATTAACAGGGAGCTGGATTGGAAGTAGAGCAGCCGGGACTTGAACCCACGCCCATATGGGATGCCGGCACTATGGATGGCACCTGCTGTGTCACAGTGCTGGACCCAAAGTTAATTTTTTTAAGTAATAGACTTTATTACTTTCTACAGCAGTTTTAAGTTCCTAGCAGAATTGAACAGAAAGTATAGTTTCCTTATACACCCCGCCCCGCCCCCAGCACAGGGGGCCTCCTCCACTGTCCACACCCCGCTCCGAGGGGGCCCATCTGTGGGGATCTCACCACCTGCTCGTTTGCCAGCTGTTTGTCTTCTTTAAAGAGATGTCCCTGAAGGTCTTGGCCTATTTTTAAATCAGATTGTTTTCTTATTGTTGAGTTTTAGTCTCTTAAGATTTATTTTATTTATTTGAAAGAAAGAGTTACAGAGAGAGAAGGTGAGACACAGAGAGAGATTTCCTGTCTTATCTGCTGGATCATTCCCCAAATGGCCGCAACAGCCAGGGCTGTGCCAGGCTGAAGCCAGGAGCCTGGGACTCCATCCGGGTTTCCCACGTGAGTGGCAGGGGCCCAAGCACTCGGATCCTCTTCCACTGCTTTCACGGATACATTAGCTGGGAGCTGGATTGGAGTTGGAGCAGCCAGGACTTGAATCAGCATCCGGCAGTGCCGTAGGAGGCAGCTTAATCTACTATGCCACGATACTGGCCGCATGTATACTTAAGATAACAGTTGTTTCCTAGATAGTGGTTTTTGTTTTGTTTTGTTTTGTTGTTGTTGTTGTTGTTGTTTTTTAAGATTTGGTTATTTATTTGGAAGGCAGAGTTACAGAAAGAGGGAGGGACACTGAGAGGGAGATCTCCATCTGCTGATTCACTTCTCAAATGGCTGCCACGGCCCGGGCTGGGGCCAGGCTGAAGTCAGGAGTCTGCAACTCCATCCAGGTCTCCCCCATGCTTGGCTGGGGCCTAGGAACCTTGACCGTCTTCCAGGCACTTTAGCAAGGAACTGGATCAAAAGTGGAGCAGCTGGGACTGGAACAGGCACTCATATGGGATAGCAGCATTGCAGGTGGTGGCTTTTTTTTTTTTTTTAAGATTTATTTATTTATTTGAAAGGCAGAGTTACAGAGAAGCAGAGATAGAGAGTGAGAGTGTGTGTGTGTGTGTGTGTGTGTGTGTGAGAGAGAGAGAGAGAGAGAGACATCTTCCATCCCAAATGGTTGCAATGGCTGGAGCTGAGCCGATCAGAAGCCAGGAGCCAGGAGCTTCCTCCAGGTCTCCCATGTGGGTGCAGGGGCCCAAGGATGTGGGCCATCTTCTGCTGCTTTTCCCAGGTGCATTAGCAGGGAGGTGGATCAGAAGTGGAGCAGCCAGGACTTGAACTGGCGCCCATATGAGATGCCGGCACTGCAGGCCACGGCTTTACCCACTACGTCACAGCACCGGCCCCAGGTAGTGGCTTTTACTGACTGTGCCACAATGCCAGCCCTGGACATGTGCTTTACAAATAATTTCTTCTAGTCTGTGGCTTGCCACTTCATTCTCTTGACTGTGTGTTTCGGAGAGCAGCAAGTTCTGCGTTCAGTGGAGTCCGTCCAGTTTATGAATTCCTTCCATCGTGGGTTGTGCCTTTGGTGCTGATCAGAAGTCATTGCCTGGGCCAGGCTCACCTGGGTTTGCTCCGTGTCATCCTCTGGGGGTTTCACGTAGTTTTGCTTTTTACTTTGGGGGTCGGATCCGTGGGAGTTAACTGTTGTGCCCCCTTGGGGTTTTGACTCAGTGTTGTCCACGCAGAGCCTCCTGCACTTCAGCGGACAGCTTGGGCTTTCCTCCTGGCTCCTCGGATTTCCCAGTTTGGTCAGCTTTTTACTTATTGCTAGGACTGAGTGGCACCTTGTATGCCAGCCGAGAACGGGCGGCCCGAAGCGTAGTGTGAAACGAACTAAGCGCCGATGATTCACACACGCACACGGCTCACGGGGAGGCAGGAGTGCTAACGGTCACAGGCAAGCCGAGAGGTGCCCCTCCCGCGGGTGGGAGGACACTGTGGGGCTCCTCTGCCTTTTTGGCTATCTTGGGTTTTGGCAAGTGTGCTTTTTTTTTTTTTTTTTAATTTATTCATTTGAGGGGCCGGCGCTGTGGTGTGGTGGGCGAGGCCTCTGCCTGTAGCACCGGCATCCCATATGGGCGCCGGTTCTAGTCCCGGCTGCTCCTCTTTTGAGCCAGCTCTCTGCGGTGGCCCGGGAAGGCAGGAGAGGATGGCCAAGTGCTTGGCCCTGCACCCACGTGGGAGAACAGGAAGAAGCTCCTGGCTTCTTGGCTCTGGATTGGCCCAGCCCTGGCCATTGTGGCCATTTAAGGAGTGAAGACTTTCCTTTCAGTCTCTCCGTCTCTCTGTAAGCCTACCTTTCAAACAAACAAATAAATAAAATCTTAAAAGAAATGTATTCGTTTGAGAGACAGCGAGAGGACTAGAGACAGCCGAAGCTCCTATTCACTGATTCACTCCCCAAGTGCTTGCACAGGGCTGAAGCCAGGAACTCGTCCAGGCCTCCCCCGTGGGAGTATTGAGCCACCACTGCCACCTCTCCTGCTCTTTTTGGCAGGAAGCTGAGCCAGGAGCAGAGCCAGGACTAGGCCAGGCCCTCCGGTGCGGAGCACGGGCGTTCCAGCTGCCAGGCTGACGGCCAGCCCTCCTCCTCCTCGTCGACTGTGCTTAAGCGACCTGAGGCACAGCTCCACGAATCGCCACGGTGGAGACGGGAGTGACAAAGCCATGGCAGCCAAGCCTCAGGTCACTGCTGGGGTCCACTCCCCCACTGCTGCGGCCCCACGGGCCCTGGCCGCTCAGCCACTTCGCCTGCCCCCTCCCAGTGCGGGCGCTGTGGGGAGGCGGAGGACTCCAGTCTGCTCTCCAGGGACCCCGTGAACTAAGAGCCACGGCCGGGCCCCCACGTGTTTTCGTGGATCTGCAGCAGGTGGCCCGAGCAGGCTTCAGCCAGGCCCAGCTTTTCCAGGCGGCCACCGTCAGCCGGAGCCAAGGGCAGCGGCCGCCGTCTCAGGGCGTGGGCCCGCCACGCTGCTGCAGTCCCCACTGAACGCCCCCGTTCCTGGGCCGGGGGTGAAATCTGAGACCTTGACTCAAAACGTCGAGGGTTCTTGTCGTATATTTAGATAAGAATTTTAAACATCTGCTGCTTATAAATGGAACAGGCAACATGGTACAGTTTTTAGCATGTATTCAGTGAGAGAAATACGCAGGAAAGTGCAGGCTTTATCGAGGGGGAGAAGTCTAGAAATAAGAGAGCAGGCGGAGCCACGTGGAGCAAGCGTGCGGTTCGGTTCAGCCGCGGGTAGTGTAGCGCGGGCAGGACACAGAGCAGAGAGCAGGTGGGCAGCAGGCTGCACGCCTGGAGGCCCAGGACAAGGGCAGGCGCACCGTGCTCTGGTCTTTCCTTCACTACCAAAAGGGAGTGGTTACGTAGTCTGACTGGCAGGTGGGCGTCCTCGTGAGGTCAGGTAGGGGCGTGAGACCACGAAAGGGAGCAGGGTGAAGGCGTGGTCTCCAGCTCACAAATCTAACCGATTTAATCCCATCTGCCTGCCTGGGTCAGCTGGCATCAGGGGTGTACACGTGGTGGGTTTCACACGTTCATCACAGACCAGACGCGAGCCCAGGTCATCTGTGGCCCGTGCAGATGGAAGGCCCTCCCTGGGCACCCCTTGGCCTGATCTTGGGCCCACCGGTCTTCCCTGGCTCTCCTCCTCCTCTTCGGCTTCCGTCACTTCCCTCTGCTGCTTTGGTCCACTGTGGCCCTGCTCCTGCGCTGCCTTGCCAGTTCACAGCTCCTACACCCCTAACCCTCTCACCGTTGCCCACTTGACTTGTGAGAGAGAGAGAGGCAGAGAGCTCCCATCTGCTGATTCACTTCCCAAATGCCAGCCAGGCCAAAGCCCGGAGGCAGGAGCTCAGCTGGGGCCTCCCACGTGGGTGGCGGGCACCCACCTGCTGCCTCCCAGACTGCTCATTAGCAGGGAGCTGGGATCAAAAGCAGAGCTGGGACTTAAACCCAGGCCCCCCATTATGGGATGCAGGTGCCCCAAATGCCTGCTGTCTCCCGGCATCCTGCTTCCTGCCACATTCCTCTGCCCCCGCGTCTGGTGTTCCACTTCACCCTAACCCCAGATTTTCCAGTACTGACTTTTGGGGTCAGTTCAGCTCTTGAGTCAAACTTTTATTTTTAAAAGCGTACATACAAGGTGATACATTACTCTAAAGTATTCAAGCAGTCTGCAGGGGTGTAGGTAGAAAGTGAAGGTCAGCCTGATCTGCCCCGTTTCCTGCCCTGGCCGTCACCACTGATCAGACCTTTGCATTTGAAGGACGAGGCTCACAACTTCAGGCCGTTGTCCGTCCGTCCGTCTGTCCTTCCTTCCCATAAGCAGGATCATACATAAATTTTGTTTTGTAAACTGCTTTTCTTTTCTCTTATTTATTCCCTTATTTTTAGCGTAAATACCTCTTGGAGATTTTTTTCTTTTCAAAGTCGATACTATTTTCCCAAATCATCCTTTTAATGGACACATAATATCCTTTAGTTTGGATATGACACAATTTATTTAACAGTTTCCTATTTTTGAACAGTTTCCTATTTTTGAAGACTAGAGAGGAGAGAAAGAGACAGAGAGAGAAATCTTCCTTCCACTGGCTCACTCCCCAAATGGCCACAATGGCTGGAGCTGGGCCAGGCCAAAGCCAGGAGCCAGGAACCGCATCCGGGTCCCCCCCGCCCCCCCGGGTGGCCAGGGCCCAGGTACTTGGATCATCATCTGCTGCTTTCCTGGGTGCATTAACAGGGAGCTGGATCAGAAGCAGAGTAGCCAGAACTGGAGCCGTGGCTTGATTTCAAATGCCAGCGTCACAGACGGCGGCGTGACAGTGTCTTGTTGATCATGGTATTTCCACGGTATTTTTGTTGCAGTGAACATGTATTTTTGTATATGTGTCTGTTTCCAAAAAACTATTTATGCTGTTTTCTTAAAAGGCAGAGAACCAAAAAGAGAGTTCTCTCATCTGCCTGGTTCACGCCCAAGATGCTTGCAGCAGCCAGGGCTGGACGAGCTGAGCCGGGGGCTGCGATGCGGTCTCCACTGCCCCTGTGCGTGGCAGAGACTGAAGCACTCGAGCCATCAGCTGCTGCCTTCCACGGTGTCCGTGAGCAGGAAGCTGGAACTGGGAGATAAATACAGAACGTGGACGTCCCACGTGGCGCCTACACTGCCTCACCAATACCCATCCCCGGAGATGTGTCTTGGGATTCATTTACAAGTGTTTTTTCAGAATTCAGCTCTCTAGTGAAATGTTTAATCTTGATAAATACAAGCATGTGTCTAAAACAGCCATGGAAAAATGGAATTCAAAACTAAGCTTGTTTGGATGCAAAACTATTTTTAAATCCTTGCTTAGCTTTTTTCATAAAATGTGCTTCCTGGGGTTGGCACTGTGGCATAGCAGGTAAAGTCACCGCCTGCCATGCTAGTATACCATGTGGGCACCGGTTTGAGACCTGGATGATCCACTTCCAGTCCATTTGTGGTTTATCAAGCTGAGACCACCCCCTCATCATTTACCACCCCCTCCCCCGCCTCCTCCAGGCAGTCCTCTGAGACTCTTCCAGCCACGCCAACCTCACTTGTTGGAACCCTAAGCGCAGCAGCTAAGCGCGCTCATGGTTCCACGTGTGCCGGTTTGGCTTTCCAGGTAGCACGTTCTTGCCCTCGGTTGCCGGAACCTAGAATTCTAGCTCTGTGTTAACGTCATCCGTGCCCAGTGCTGGGGCGGGTGATTCGCAGTCAGAGCACCCTGGGGGGTTCCTGACACTCTTTTTCTTTCTCTTTCAGGGGGTGGGGGGTTGAGGGGGTGGGGAGGAGTCAGAGGCCAGGTAAGTCCGTCTGCGGAGCTCAAGGTGAGACGATGGGCAGCAGCAGCGGTTGCGGGGCACTGAGCAGCTCCTGCGTGCCAGCGCTTCCAGCACATCCCGTTACCTCTGACCCCTGGAAGGGCCTGGAAGGCAGGTGTCGCCAGCCGCCTTTTACAGAGGGATCGTGATGCACAGGGCCATGATTGCAACCCCGCTGCAAATCCTCCACTTCTCAGAGACGTGGCCAGGAGGAGGGGCAGCGCGGCAGGGCCAGGCTGGGGTCTGGGGTGGGTTGGTGGCACTCGGGGAGATGGTGTCCGTGACACCGATGGCCCCAGGCCCTACCACTAGCCGGGGCAGCCAGGCTGGCCAGAGACTTAGCTCCAGAGGCCTCCAGGCACCAAGAAGAAAAAGGCTTAGTCCCCGGCCCCTCTGCCTGACCTAATGTCTCATTGTGTTGTGTGTGTATTTTTTTTTCCGATTTTTGAAGGCAATTGAGAAATTTGAGTTGGAGAAGAAGGCTGTAAGAGAGAAAAGGCGCAGCAGCCCAGGAGACAGAGGCAAACCTCCTTTCTCATGGCCTCGGTGGTTTTTAGTGGGGTTTGGTGTTTGCTTTATTATCATTATTATTGTTTAGTATTGGGTAGGAGTCCAAGGCTTCTTCTAAAAGAGCCTTGAATCTCACTTCCTGCCGTTGAGCAAGGAAGGAAGGAAGGAGGGACAGCACCTTTCAGAGACCACCTACTGCGTGGCACGCGGCACCAGGCACTGTGTGCCCAGTCCCCCAGGTCCTCCCGACGTCCCCTGACACAGGCCTGGGGCAGGCGGCCCGAGTGTAAAGCCACAGCGTGTGTAGCCCTTGCTGCTCCGTGGAGCAAGTGGCCCCGTCGGAGCTGGAGGGAGGAGTCTCAGCCACCTGGGAGGAGACCGCAGCCCCAGCGGCCAGGGCAGCCCAGGCAGAGCGCGAAGCCCCCATCACAGTTCCCGCCCAGCCCAGGACGGACCCTGGCGCTGCTCATTTCTTATTTCTCTCCCTCCGTTCTGCAGGCAAGAGACAAAGGAAAATGGAGGATTTCTGCAAAGACCTGGACCTCAAGAATGCCCGATCTTTCCTGACGAAAAGGGTGAGGCTGTGTCTGACCGGCTTCTGTGGGGCAGGAAGGGACCTGGTGTCTAGATGGTGGTCACGGCGGAAAACTACAGAATTCCTTTTATTTCAAAGATTTCATTTATTTATTTGAGAAGTAGAGTTACAGACAGTGAGAGGGAGAGACAGAGAGGTCTTCCTTCCATTGTTTCACTCTCCAAATGACTGCAACGGCCAGAGCTGTGCTGATCCGAAATCAGGAGCCAGGAGCTTCTTCTGGGTCTCCCATGTAGGTGCAGGGGGCCAAGGACTTGGGCCATCTTCTACTGCTTTCCCAGGCCATAGCAGAGCCGGATCAGAAGTGGAGCAGCTGGGACTTGAACCGGTGCCCATATGGGATGCCAGCACTGCAGGCAGTGTCTTTACCGGTTATGCCACAGTGGCGGCCCCCAGAATTCCCTGCGGGTGATGGTAACGAGTTGGCTGTCTATGTTGCTTGACTTTTACATTTCTGTAAGTCATCATGTTTTAGTTTTACTCTAAAAATCACTTTAATAATTATATATATGAAAAATCACTAAGATAGACACATTCTTTAATTCAAATTACAATTTTGAGACATTCATGCTAAATAAGTAACCCAAAATGGGGAGGGAAAGTGCAGGCTGTGAGTTATGAAGGACAGTTCTCAGGGAGCAGCTAACTGAATGACAGCACACCTTCCCCATGAGCTGGCCGATCATGTGCCTTCCTCAATGGCAGTTCAGAGCTGCTGTGACTACGTGAAAAGTAGCAGCTTCAGTGAACGGGAAAGATCACATACTCAGACACACTGCGGTCCGAGTCACACACGGGGTTTTCAGAAAGTTTATGGAAGTGCGTTTCATGAGAAAACTATGCATGGGTCTCAATCTTTTTTTTTGTTTGTTTGACCCAAAATAAACTGATCTCTTAACGTCATTTTCCACGAACGTTCTGGAGTACCCTCCTATGTGTATTTGCAGGTGTTTACTCAAAGCCTGTACAGACACATAGAAAACGTGCCCAGTGTTTGGTCAGGGTGCCCACTTCCTGTGCGTTCTGCCCGGCTGTCGCAGCGTCACTGGAAGCGGATGACCAGTGTCCAGCATCGCTGTCCGCTGTGGACAGATGGCGCTTTCTCCTCCCTCCCCCTCAGCCCTCAGCACCAGGGACAGGGACTGCAGAGTGCGGTCTTCACCTGTTGTTTGAACCAGCAGACTGATGGGCCCCTTTCTGCACCAGAAAACAGCAGATAAGAACCTGCTGGCAGAGCTGTACCAGTACCCAGCCTTTGACAGCGCCAGGCCAAACGAGCTTCCCAACGGGGTGGGCTTCTGCGACATGGTGGGCAACGTGGTCCGGGCTGAGAAAAACCCCATCACTGGCAAGGTAAGGAGAGAGGGCGGGCAGCTCACCCAGCCGGGCGCCTGGCCCTGCCCCCCGCCTTGGGTCGGACACAGCTGTCCCCCTTTCCCACGCCTGGGCCACACACTCATGCGTGCCTGAGCCCAGCGGGGAGCCCCAGAACCTCAGTTCCTTCTGCCAGAGCAGTGGTCTCCGACTGCTTTGGTCACGGGTCCCATTCGCAGCCGTTCCGATCACGCGGCGGCCCATAGATAAGTTCTGTGTGCGAATCCTATGTGCGGTCCATTGGCAGTCGTGGGAAGGGAGCCTGCCAAGGCCCACGGGGGTCCATGGGGGTCCGTGTGACCCATGCAGTGCATACTGGAGATGGGGAAATTTTAAGGTGGTCTGGAGGCGGGGGGAGGAGAACCAGAACCAAAGGAATATTGATGTGAATTTTGTTTCTTTTCAAGTCTTTCTGTTCAGATAAAGAATTAAAGAAGTTTCTCTCTTCTCCTCTCCCAAGAGCCATGTGGCTGGACAGCTTCTGGTGGCTGTTTCATGAAAGGTACCAGGTAAATGCAGGGCTGATCTTCCTCCCCCTTGCTTGAGTTACATTTTGCTGTGGAACAAAGTCCAGCCTCTCTCACATGCCTCACGAGCCCCCCGAGCCTGTGGGCTCCCCTACAGCCTCACCTGTCACCCCACGCCCTCCACACTCTCACCGTCTGCCCCGTGCTTCCGCTGTTACACAGCTGAACTTGAGGAGCTGGGCAGGGCTCTGAGGGTGGTCATGGGCAGGGGGAGAGGGGGGATAGGAGTCCTGATGGACCCCCAGCCCTGAGGCCGTTTCAGTGTCCCCGGAGGCTTAGCAACCCCTGCCCCATCTCTGTCCCTGGCAGCCCAACAAGGAGATCCAGGACAAGCTGTTCGATCGCACAGCGCGCTGCTACGCCGTCCTGCTCGTCCAGCAGCCCAGGTCCCACTACGAAGAGGCGCTGCTGAAAGTGAGCGCCCACCACTGCTGGGAGAAGGATCCCCTGAGGTTGCTCTTCACTCGGACTCCAGAACGCCCCACACATTCTTTCCCTTAGGAGTCGAGTTAGGATGGACCCGCGTGGCAGCTGGCAGCGCAGCGTCACAGGCGGCGTGGTAGAGCCCTCTGTGTGTGTAGGGCCGGGAAAGATGCGGCGATAGTTCATACAGCAGCTCCACCACTCTGCGTCCAAGAAATAGATGCATACATGTGTATGCATCCGGGCCTGTGAGTGGGAAAACTGTCTAGAGCCCTGTTTACCCAACTCCTAGCAGTGGTCACCTCTGGGGATGCAGTTGTAGAAGACTTTTTTTCCTTAAGTACTTATTTTTGTATTTGAAGGCAGAGTTACAGAGAGAGGGAACAGCAGAGAGAGAGAGAGAGAGAGCTCCTCCTCTATCTACAGGTTCTCTCTTCAAATGCAAATGAGGGGTGGGCGTTTAGCTCAGCAGCTGAGATGCCCGTGTCCTAGATCGGAATGCCCGAGCTCGGTTCGGGCGACTCCTGACTCCAGTCCTGCCAGCGCAGCCCCGAGAAGCAGCAGTGTCTGCTCAGGGAACTGGGTTCCTGCCTCCCACAGGGAGACCTTGCATCTCCAGCTCCTAGCCGCGCTCTCAGTCCAGCCTCTGCTGGTGCAGGTATTTGGGGACTGAGCCGGCAGCCGGGAATCTGTCTGTCTCCTGTCTCTTTCTCTGTGACTCAAATAAATAGGCACATTTAAATATGCCCTAAAATAATAATAATAATAATAATAATAATAATTCAGCATCTCCTTTTGGTGTGAATCAAAAATGCTTTAAAAACTCTCGGGGCTGGCACCGCAGCTCACTAGGCTAATCCTCCGCCTGCGGCGCCGGCACACCGGGTTCTAGTCCCGGTCGGGGCGCCGGATTCTGTCCTGGTTGCCCCTCTTCCAGGCCAGCTCTCTGCTGTGGCCAGGGAGTGCAGTGGAGGATGGCCCAGGTGCTTGGGCCCTGCACTCCATGGGAGGCCAGGAGAAGCACCTGGCTCCTGGCTTCGGTCAGCGCGGTGTGCTAGCCACTGCAAGCCAGCCACAGCGGCCACTGGGGGGTGAACCAATGGAAAAGGAAGACCTTTCTGTCTCTCTCTCTCTCTCTCTCACTGTCCACTCTGCCTGTCAAAATAAATAAATAAATAAATAAACTCCCAGAATATTACAAATAAGTTTTTTTATTTTTTTATTATTTATTTATTTATTTATTTGGCAGGCAGAGTGGACAGAGAGCGAGAGACAGAGAGAAAGGTCTTCCTTCCATTGGTTCACCCCTCCAATGGCCAGCGCGGCTGTCGCGCTGCGGCCGGCACACCGCGCTGATCCGATGGCAGGAGCCAGGTGCTTCTCCTGGTCTCCCATGGGGTGCAGGGCCCAAGCACTTGGGCCATCCTCCACTGCACTCCCTGGCCACAGCAGAGAGCTGGCCTGGAAGAGGGGCAACCGGGACAGAATCCGGCACCCTGACTGGGACTAGAACCTGGTGTGCTGGCGCCGCAGGCAGAGGATTAGCCTAGTGAGCCGCGGCGCCGGCCTACAAATAAGTTTTTGAAAGTGCTTGCCGGTACCTCTGGGAGACCGTGCTGGACACACTGGCCGAATGTGTCGTCACCGCAGTGGCTGTGCTTTGGCCACGCCGCAGACGGAGCTGAGGAGAGGCAGAGAGGGCTGGAGGTCGCTGGCCACGCCCAGCGCGGTCCTGGGGGAGTGGCCTCCGGCAGGGTAAGGAGATGCGGAGGCACCCGCCGGGAACGGCTGGCTGAGGGGTTTTCTGAAAAAGGGACAGTGTTCCGGGCGCGGACGTGTCCAGGACGCTGAGCGCTGCCCCGCCCCGCCCGCAGAGGCTGCCCTCGCTGCTGAGCAGAGCGCTGTACACCAGCTTCTGCTGCTGCTTCCCGCAGTCCTGGTTCAACATGCACGAGTTCAAGTCCTGCGTCTGCAACACGATGAGCCTGTGGATCACAGGTGAGCGCAGACGTCCCGGGAGACACGTGCCCCGGAGCCAGCGCCTGCTGAGCCCGTTGGTTATGTGCCAGCCCCAGCCCCAGCCCCTGCCCCCAGGGAGCCCCTGGTCCGGCACGCGCAGGTGCGATGGGCAGAGGCCACACTGCCTTCCCGCGTACAGTCGCCCAGCTTCACAGCCGTGGGCTGGGTAGGTTCCTGGAGAGGAGGCGCCTCGTCCACGGCCACAAGGCCACTATGGGGTGGGGCCGGTCCCCAGAGGGCCAGCCTGTCTTGCACCATGGCGTCCAGGCCTCTGTCTGCATGACCACTCTCGATTTCCTCCCAGGCACCTATCCTTGCCCACAGGGCTACGCCGGCTGGAACTACTCAGAGCTGGATCCAGAGAGGTTCCGCAGAGAGGAGTTAATGCTACAGAGAAAAAGGCTGATGAGGGGTGAGGCGCGCGTCTCCCCCCCCCCCCCGCTCCCCGCTCCCCGCTGTTTCTAGTTAAGCGTTCGTCCCACATTTATTTATTTACTTCCATTTGGCGGGGTCCTGAGTTGCTTGTCTTTCCTCTGAAACGATTTTTTTTCCCATGTGGGTTGGGTGCCCAGGGTTCTGCGTGCGCTCTCTGCTTTCCTTAGCTCATCAGCCCGGCCAGGCACGTAGCAGCCTTGTGCCTCAACAGGGCCAGCCGGGCTCGGGTGCCCAGGGTCACCCAGCAGGTGGAGCCTGCGGAGGGGCTCTGGCTTGCCCGAGGCTGGTTCTCGGTGGTCCTCTTGCTGGTGCGTGTGACTGGCCGACGGGGAGGGTGTCTCAAATCTCCTGGTCCCCAGTCTTGGTCACCCCATGGCAGTGACCCGCGGCAAGAAGGAACTGAAGATCAGCTTTCCCGTTCCTTAGGAAGAACGTACTCTTTCTTCACTTCTAAGAGATTGTTTTCCCGGAAGCCAACCCAGAGCAGAAAACCCCAGTACCCTCAGGTAAGTGGGGAGGTGTCGATCCGGACCCCCGTGGGGCCCACACACCCTGCACCCCCGCCCCACCCTGCCACCTTCCCCATGGGTGCCCCGAAGGCCGCCAGGTCGAGTGGAACACCGAGGGCGCCCACCCGAATGCAGCGCCGGAGGAGAGAGGCAGAGACCCAGCCTTTCCCTGGAGGCTGCGGGGCGGCGGGCTCTGGTGTCTTCTGCCTCCGTAGTCCTCCAGGCACACCTGAGGGGGCGGTCTTCCCTGACACCTGCCCCCCCTCCCCCTCCCCCACCCCGTGCCCTGTGCTATTCCCTCCCAGGGTCTTCCCGGGTCCTGCCGCCTCCACCACCACAGCTTGAGCTCCTGTCACTGCTGCAGGGGAACCCGCTGGGGACCCCTGCAGTCTTCTCAAATGAGGAGCCAGGCACCCCAACCCTCCCCCCCTCGCCCCCTCCCTGAACACCATCCTCCCAGCCTCCGGTGCCCCAGAGGGCTTCCTCCTGCCGTCCCAGTAGGGTGACCCGCAGGGCCCCTCCTCCACCCTCCGGCGCCCTCCCGGTCCCTGCAAACAGCACACTCCCTCCCTACAGACGGCCTCTTGGCCCAGGTACACGCCCACCACTGCTGCCACCGTCAGCATTTCTCAACTCTAAGATCGGAGAGGTTTCATTGGTAGCGAGCTCATTGCCACAAGTCACAGCTTTTTTTTTTCTTAAAGATTTATTTATTTATTTGAAAGTCAGTGTTACACAGAGAGAGGAGAGGCAGAGAGAGAGAGAGAGAGAGAGAGAGAGAGAGAGAGAGAGAGAGAGAGGTCTTTCATCCGATGGTTCACTACCTACTTGGCTGCAACAGCTGGAGCTGAGCTGATCCAAAGCCAGGAGCCAGGAGATTCTTCTGGGTCTCCCACGTGGGTGCAGGGGCCCAAGGTGTTGGGCCATCTTCCACTGCTTTCCCAGGCCATGGCAGAGAGCTGGATCGGAAGAGGAGCAGCTGGGACTCAAACCGGTGTCCATATGGGATGCCGGCACTGCAGGCTGGGGCTTTACCCCACAGCGCCACAGCACTGACCCCTGTCAATATTTCTATGAAATGATCAATGTCAGGTTATATTTTCGCTCTTTTTTTATTTTTAAAGGTTTTATTTATTGATTTGAAAGGCAGAGTTACAGAGAGGCAGAGGCAGAGGGAGGGAGACAGAGAGAGACAGAGAGAGGTCTTCCATCCCCTGGTTCACTCTGCAGATGGCTGCTCAGCCAGAGCTGCGCTGATCCGAAGCCAGGAGCCAGGAGCTTCTTCCAGGTCTCCCACATGGGTGGCAGAGGCCCAAGGACTTGGGCCATCTTCTGCTGCTTTTCCAGGCCACAGCAGAGAGCTGGATCAGAAGTGGAGCAGCCTGCTCTCAAACCAGCACCCAAATGGGATGCCAGTGCTTCAGGTCAGGGCGTTAACCCGCTGCACCACAGCGCTGGCCCCTCACTGCCTGTTTGTAAGTAAAGCTTTATTGGCACACTGCCCCAGGCATTCACTGGCTGTGTGCAGAAGCAGCAGATGTTTGCAGACACTTTATGACCTGCAAAGCCACGGATTGCCTGTCGGGCTCTGATAGTCGCTGCCAACCCCTGTCTGGGAGGTGCAGGCTCCTCCTTCCTTCCCAGTTTAGGCTCTTGTAGGGGAGGAGAAAATCTTCGCTGTGTCCTCTTCGCTCAGCCTCTGGGGCCCTGCACATTACACAGGCAAAAGACAGATTTAAGGCCAGCGCCACGGCTCACTAGGCTAATCCTCTGCCTTGCGGTGCTGGCACACCGGGTTCTAGTCCCGGTCGGGGCGCCGGATTCTGTCCCGGTTGCCCCTCTTCCAGGCCAGCTCTCTGCTGTGGCCAGGGAGTGCAGTGGAGGCTGGCCCAAGTGCTTGGGCCCTGCACCCCATGGGAGGCCAGGATAAGCACCTGGCTCCTGCCTTCGGATCAGCGCGGTGTGCTGGCCACGGCGGCCATTGGAGGGTGAACCAACGGCAAAAAAGGAAGACCTTTCTCTCTGTCTCTCTCTCTCACTGTCCACTCTGCCTGTCAAAAAAAAAAAAAAAAAAAAAGGACATTTTAAAAAAGGGTGGGTGTTGGAGCTGTGGCACAGTGCGTTACCGCTCTGGCCTGAGGTGCTGGCATCCAGTATGGGCACTGGTTCGAGTCCCTGCTGCTCCACTTCTGATCTAGCTCTCTGCTGTGGCCTGGGAAAGCAGTTGAAGACGGCCCAAGTCCTTGGGCCCCTGCACCCACATGGGAGACCCGGAGGAGACAGAGTTACGACGGGTGCGGGGGACACAGAGAAAGAGATCTTCCATATGCTGCTTCACTCCCCAAATGACTGTGTCAGTCAGGGCTGGGCCAGCCTGAGGCCAGGATCCAGGAGCTGCTTCTGGGTCTCCCACGCAAGTGCAGGGGCCCAAGCACTTGGGCCATCTTCCACTACTTTCCCAAGTGCTTTAGCAGGGAGCTGAATTGCAAGTGGAGCAGCCAGGACTCAAACCGGTGCCCATATGGGATGCCAGTGCCACAGAGCTGGCCCCAAAAGGCAGATTAATAGGAAAAAAAGACATTCAAATTTTATCTTGCTGTTAATATTTTTATTTTTTGAAAGAGATGTATAGAGAGAAGAGGAAGGAGAGAGAGAGCTTGATCTTCCATCCACTGGTTCACTCCCCAAATAACCAAAATGGCCAGGGCTGCCAGGCCAAAGCCGGGGGCCCAGAGCTTCTTCCGGGTCTCCAACATGGGTACCGGGGCCCAAGCACTTGGCCATCTTCTGCTGCTTTCCCAGGCTAAAGCAGAGTGCTGGATCAGAAGTGGAGCAGCCAGGGCCGGCGATGCGGCTCACTTGGCTAATCCTCCACCTGCGGTACCCGGCACACCAGGTTCTAGTCCCGGTTGGGGCGCTGGATTCTGTCCTGATTGCTCTTCTTTCAGGCCAGCTCTCTGCTGTGGCCCGGGAAGGCAGTGGAGGATGGCCCAAGTGCTTGGGCCCTGCACCTGCATGGGAGAGCAGGAGGAAGCACCTGGCTCCTGGCTTCGGATCAGCGCAGCGCACCGGCCGTAGTGGCCATTTGGGGGGTGAACCAACGGAAGGAAGACCTTTCTCTCTGTCTCTCTCTCTCTCTCACTAACTATGCCTGTCAAAAAAAAAAAAAAAAAAAAAAAAAAAAAAAGGTAGAGCAGCCAGGACTTGAATCAGCACCCATATGGGATGCCAGCATGCAGGACACGGCTTAACGGGCTGTGCCACAGCACTGGCCCCTCTAATGTGCCCCTCCCTTCCTCCCTCCCTTCCTCCCTCTCTCCTTCCTCTTTCTTTAAAGATTTATTTATTCATTTGAGAGGCACAGTTACAGAGAGGGAAAAATAGACAGAGATCTTCCATCCATTGGTTCTGGGCTGATCTAAAGCTAGGAGCCAGGAGCTTCCTCTGGGTCTCCTACATGGGTGCAGGGGTCCAAGTACCTGGGCCATCTTCCACTGCTCTTCCAGGCACATTAGCAGGGAGCTGGATTGGAAGTGGAGCAGCCAGGACTCAAACTGGCACCCATATGGGATGGCGGCACTGCAGGTGGAGGCTTAACCTACTACGCCACAGTGCCGGCCCCTCTAATGCATTTCTTAACCAGTAGCATATCTGCTTATGTCCTTGTCAGAGCAACCTTGCCATGTTTGGTGAAGCGTGGGGGTGTTTTCACCCTGGAGCAGTCACCCAGGGAGGCCTGGACGGGTGAAGTGGAATGGAGTAAGGGCTGGCGTGAACACCTGCTCACTCTCAGGACACTCACCTTCAGAAAACAGTGCAGAAGGAGATTTGAAGATCTGGAAATTATTATTATTTTTAAAAATATTCTATTTTATTTATTGGAAGTGGAGCAGCCAGGACTCTTACTGGCCTCCGTATGGCTCAGGCAGGTCACGTCACTCATCACTCGGCCGTGCCCCGTCAATGAGCAGGGTGCTCTTGCGACCCTGACTGCTGGTTCACTCCCCAAATGGCTGCAACAGCTGGGGTAGACGACAGGCAGAGTGGACAGTGAGAGAGAGAGACAGAGAGAAAGGTCTTCCTTTTTTGCTGTTGGTTCACCCTCCAATGGCCGATGCACTGATCTGAAGCCAGGAGCCAGGTGCAGGGCCGAAGGACTTGGGCCATCCTCCACTGCACTCCTGGGCCATAGCAGAGAGTTGGCCTGGAAGAGGGGCAACTGGGACAGAATCCCGTGCCCCAACCAGGACTAGAACCCAGGGTGCCGGCACCGTAGGCGGAGGATTAGCCTAGTGAGCCGCAGCGCCGGCCTCGACCCTGATCTTTAAAAAGAAAACCTGGGGCGGGTGTCTGGCCTGCCGGTTAAGACACTGGTCCGTGTCCTGCATCTGAGTACCAGAGTTCAGGGTGTGCCCCGCTCCAGAGCAGGTGGGGTCCTGCCACGTCCGTGGGGGAACTGGACTCTGTTCTTGGCTCCTGGCTTCAGCTCAACCCAGTCCCCGCCATTGCAGTCATTCGGGGGAGCGAACCAGCAGATGGCGCTGTTGCTCGCTCGTCCCCTTCACCTAGCTCGTTGTCTCTGTCCCAAACACATTTTTAAAAAGACTTACTTATTTGGAAGGCAGAGTTACAGAAAGAGAGATCTTCCATCTGCTCATTCACTCCCCAAGTGGCTGCACCGGCCAGGGCTGGGCCAGGTTAAAACCAGGAGCCAGGAGTTTTATCTGGGTCTCCCACACGGGTGCATCCTCCCCTGCTTTCCCAGGTGCGTTAGCAGGGAGCTGGATTCAGAGTGGAGCAGTGGGGACTGGAACCAGCAGTGCGCATTCTCGGGACACCGGGACGCTGGCGTTGAAGGCGGCAGCTTAACCCACCATGCAGCTCCAGCACGTTTCTAAAATGATAATACAGGACAAGCCGACTTCCTTTGCGCCAACATCCCCGCTGTCCTTTCACCTCAGAACTCCTTGCAGACCTGCCTGTAGCCGCCTCTCCGTTCCCCGCCTTGCAGACACATCCCAGCTGCTCCAGCCAGCACACTGGCGCGGCGCCGCGGCTCACTAGGCTAATCCTCCGCCTGCGGCGCCGGCACCCCGGGTTCTAGTCCCGGTTGCGGCGCCGGATTCTGTCCCGGTTGCCCCTCTTCCAGGCCAGCTCTCTGCTGTGGCCAGGGAGTGCAGTGGAGGATGGCCCAGGTGCTTGGGCCCTGCACCCCATGGGAGGCCAGGAGAAGCACCTGGCTCCTGGCTTCGGATCAGCGCAGTGCGCCAGCCGCAGCGGCCATTGGGGGGTGAACCAACAGAAAAGGAAGACCTTTCTCTGTCTCTCTCTCTCTCACTGTCTACTCTGCCTATCAAAAAATAAAATAAAAAGGCATGAAAAGATATTTATTTTGATGCAAAACATTTTGGAAATCTACATGTAATTCTTCAGATTACAAACTTTTCAAAGACCCTTCCCCTCAAGCTACCACGTGGGTGATACTTCTCACCCCTTGGTGGACTTCATCTGTTTCCTGTCCTGTCCCTCGCTCAGCTGAGGGCTACTCCAGTGAGGACCAGGTTTCAGGGTTTGTCTGGGGGCGGTCACGTTGGGAGCTTTTGCCCGGTGAGGTGTTTACCGAAGGAGGTGTGGCGAGCGTCACGTCATCAGGGACGGCAAGGGAGCACCTACCCAGGCCCACTATGCTCTGTGCGCGGGCTGACCGAGTCCTACGAGCAGCTGGAGGCAGGAGACGGCTTCAGTGACTCGCCCCAGATCACCAGTCGTGAGCGACGGCTGGGACCCCCACCCACCCACCGCGTCTGCCTCCGTCCCAGCCCCTGTGGTCTCCGTATCTGCTGCCTGTCCCTGCAGTGCCCCGGGAGCGCCTGCGTGTCCCTTTGCTAAGAACAACGAGGAACGTCTTGGACAATGGCATGTATCCCTCTCACTGCCCGTTTTACTGACTTTATTCTTCTGTTTTCTCCCCCACGATTCTCTAACACGAAGCCAACCCCAGAGAAAGCGTTCTCAGCCGTGCGGAAGTCCGGAGGCGGCTCGGGGCCACCTGACACCGGGAGAGGTACTAGCACTCCCGAGAGGGGACGTCTGTTTGCACCTAATTTGCACCCCCCCCCCCTTTACACCTGGGCCTGTGTTTGCACTGTCACAAGCTCCATTTTTGTGAGGCCACGTTCAGGACCACGCTGATTTCCGTGGAGGAGAGAGGCGGCCGGCACGCGTGGAAAGTAAGTGGAAGATGCCATGACTGCTCCGCCCCTCTCCCCCACCGGAAGCCAGCGCTTGGCAGAGACAGAAGCTGATCCGCACCGGAGCCTGCGAGGGAAAGCACAGAGGGGCCCGGGGCACTGAGCCAACCGTGGCTTGACTGGGACACGTGGCAGGCCGGCCAGGGCCTCGGCGGGAAGCAGCAGGGGGCGATGGGAGTGGAGGCCACAGCCCTCACAGGCGAAGCTTGGGGTGATGGTGTTCGGATGATCCCAGCAGGTGCTGGGCACGGGGACGGGGCCAGATTGTACGGTGCCGGCTCCGGGTTGTGGCTCCAGGTTGGCTCTGCACAGAGGAAATACTGGCTTGCTGTGTGGGAGCTTGCTAGAGGAGCTGTTCAGGGAAGGGCCTCTCTGTGGGAGGGGCATCAGCCCCCTTGGTCCGGCCCTGTGGTTCCCGGCGTCCCGTGGAGCCCGCGCCGCGGGATCCTCCCGGGTGGCTTCGCACACGCCGTCGTTCTCCCGGAAACGTGAGCTGTCCGTGTTCTCGAGGGAGTGAGTGTGTGAATCGTGTCCCAGGAAGGCCGTTGGAAAAGAGGGAAAGCCTGGGCTCCTCGCCAAAGTGTGCAGCCAGGTTCAAATGGAGGAGAGTATCGGGGGGATTCTTCAAGCCCCCAGACACACGCTCAGTGACCCCATGGGCCGAGGCGGAAGTACCAAGGGAAACCAGACGATGTGTTCACTGGCTGAAAGGGAGAGCTGTGCCCAGCGAGCATTCAGCGCTGCCGTCCCTCCGCGTCACATCAGCTCCTGATGCGTGTCTGTCGTGTCTGCCCTTTGGGGACTGTCGGGACCGTGCCGCTGTGAGCGTTTGCGAGCAGGTGTCTGGGTGGCCGGGCGTTTTCCCGTGCTGTGTGTGTGTACGTGGGAGGAGCTCCCAGACCACAGCCCAGAGTGACTGTCACAGGTGCTTTGAAGAACTCGGAGGGGCCGCAGGTGACGCCGGCATCCCATATTGGAGCACCAGGTCGAGTCCTGGCTACTCCACTTCTGATCCAGCTTCCTGCTGATGGACCTGAGAGAGCAAGTCCCGGGCCCCCAAACCCACAGCTCCTGGCTTCGGCCTGGGCCAGCACTGGCTCCTGTGCCAGTCAGGGAGTGAACCAGCAGATAGAGAATTCTCTCTCTCCCTTTCTCCCTCTCCCTCTCTCTCCCTCTCCCCCTCTCTCCCTCTCCCCCTCTCTCTCTCCTTTTCTCCCCTTTCCTGTATCCCTCCTCTCCTCCCTCCCCTCCTCCCTTTCTACTGGTGCATGAGCAGGAGCTGATGAGACAGAGTACTGGGGGCTCCAACTGGCACCCCAGTATGGGTTGCTGGCATTTCAAGCAGTGGCTTAGCCCCGGCCCCTTAACCAGCATCTCAACTGGCCAAACACCCACCCCTGAGTAGCATTTCCGAAGACTTGAGCACCCCGCTGCCTCACTCTTTACTGTAGGGAATTCCGTCATGGCATCTGACTCGGTGTTGTTGAATTATAGAGGCTGGCGTTCAGTTACTACAACAGAACACACGCGAGAACTCAGTTTGTAAAGAGAAAAGGTTTCTTAGCTCACAATTCTAGAGCTTCAAGATCAAGATCAGGTGGCCCCTCTGGTTTGGCATCCGTGAGTGCCAACGGACGGCAATGGTGGATGGCAGAGTGTGTGGAGGAAGGGTGGAGGGCGAGCCAGGAAGCAGAGAGAGTGGGGGGGCCAGACTTGGGCTTTGTGCCTACCCTCTTCTCAGAACTCCACAGGTCAAGTGAGAACTTCCTCCAGGGGCTTCCCCCACCCCGTAGGGCCCTCCCTCCAGGAGCCACCATCTAACAGTCCTGCCACCCTGGGGACCAGGCCTCTATGTGGACTTTCGGGGAACACGCGCACAGATATCCACACTGTAGCATACATGTCGCACCCGTGCCGTTTCTGCCTCACTACACTGTGGGTCCCTTGAAGAGAGTGTTTCTGCACCCACCCCGGGCTGACGCCCAGAGATGCCCAGCACGTATTTGCCGGGTGGATGACGGACAAGGGGTGGGCAGACGGATGAGTCTGAAGAGAGCCATGGCCTGCAGGTGTGAATGCGGCTAAAGTGCAGGAGAAACTGTGTGAGTTCCCCAGAGCTGCCTCCTCCAGCGTGAGCCAGGGCCTCAGTGCATCCGGGCCTTTTCCCTCTGGCAGGAAGTGGAGGTCTGCTCACGCAGGTGGGAAGCTCCAGTGGGATGTATTGTTGTTATCGTATTATTGTTATTATTGCTACTATCACATTGACAGAGCATCGTCCTCACATCTTGCAATCAAGGAAAGCCTCACCGCAAGTCAAGAAGGTAACAGAAGCACGAGAATACGAGAACGCGCTTTCTAAGCAGGTGAGCAGGGGCCGGCGCTGTGGCGGAGGGGCTGCAGCTGCCGCCTGCAGTGCCGGCAGCCCGTACAGGTGCCGGTTCAGGTCCCGGCTGCGCCACTTCCAATCCAGCTCCCTGCTGATGCACCTGGGAAGGCAGCAGCAGAGGATGGCCCAAGTGCTTGGTCCCTGCCACCCACATGGGAGACCTGGAAGGGGCTCCTGGTTCCCAGCTTTGGCCTGGCCCAGCCCCAGCTGTTGTGGCTGTTTGGGGAGTGAACCAGTGGATGGAAGACCTCTCTCTCTCTCTCTCTCTCTCTCTCTCTCTCTCTCTCTCACTGACTCTACCTTTCAAATAGATAAAATAAATCTTTAGAAATAAATGTAAAAAATAAACCTGCTTGGAGATGTGGAAGCAGAGGGGAGTCAGGAGGGGTCGGAGACGAGGCGGGAGGCTCACGCTGTGCACGGGCGTCAGGGTGAGAACGGGCTGTTCCCCACTCAGGTGGCACAGGAGGCTGCCTGTGGTAACTCCTGCAGGAGGCAGGCACGCGGACAAAGCGCTATGTCTGCATTTCCCCAGGATTTAAGTCGCCTGCCTGGAGCTCAGGAGCCTGTGTGTGACGAAGAGCGCACTGGGCCTCACTTTCCTCCTCTGTTAAGTGGGGCGAGGCGGTGCCACCAGGTTCCCGAGGCACGACGGTAGCCTTGCTCCGCACCAGGTGCCAGAGCCCGGGGCGCAGCTCTGCTTTACTTCACTGTCACCGTCGCTGAGGCAGTGCCTCTCGCTGTCCTCCGTTCCTCCTCGAGGGAAGCGGTGCTGAGGGCCCCAGGTCACACAGCCAGTACGTGATGGACAGAGACCGGCACGCGCATCTGAGCCTTTCTGAGCCTGAGCCCTGAACCCCAGTCCCAGCCACGGCTGGCCCTGGGGAACCTGTCTGCTCCCCCCACCTCCCGCCATGCGGCCGTGGTGGTTTGTACCGGTGGCATCTTCAGTCCTGAGCGGTGGGGAAAGGCCTTGAGGGCTGTGAGCAGGGTGAGAGGTTTGCAGACCTCCCCAAAGCCCCCGCTGGCCAGGGAGCCGGGCCGAGCGCGGGCACTAAGAGTGAGGTTGTAGATTTCCCGGACCTTTGACCTGTCTGCGTATTTGTAACCGTTGCCTGGTTGCCCTCAGCACTTGGCACTGAAACTTCAGAGAAATAGCCGGGCTTGGGGGAAGAGATGGACGGACGGACACGCCTACACAGCCCAGTGCTGCCACCATCTGGCTGTGTCGCCTGAGCAAGGCGTTTTGTTGATCTTAGGAAACGAGAAACATGTAACACAGAGGAAGGGAGATGAAGGACGGGGTTCATGCCGGGGAGCGGGCGCGGCCCCCAGGGCTGGGTGGACGGTGCCTGCGCCTGCCCCTGTGAGCGCTTTAATGCTCGGGGCCGCTAAAACTCTCTCCGCGTTCACAAGCCCCGTGCCTTCGGGCCCCGATGAGCGCTGCTCCGTGCCTTTCTGTTTCTCCCCTGTTCTCAGCAGTGGAAATATCTCCCCGTCTAGAGTTAGTAGTCTCTCACTGATCTCGCCATTCGTTTACAGAAGCTCCATTTTTTTGGTCATATTTTGGCAAAAATGCCTCCTATCTAATCTTTTTTTAAATATTTATTTATTTATTTATTTATTAGAAAGACAGTTACTGAGAGGCAGAGAGAGAGAGAGAGAGATCTTTTATCCGCTGGTTCACTCCCCAAATGGCCGCAGCAGCTGGAGTTGGGCCAATCCGAAGCCAGGAGCCAGGAGCCGCTTCCGGGTCTCCCACGTGGGTGCAGGGGCCCAAGCACTGGGGCCGTCTTCCACTGCTGTCTCAGGCCACAGCAGGGAGCTGGATTGGAAGTGGAACAGCCAGGACTAGAACCAGCTCCCGCGTGGGATGCCGGCACTGCAAGTGGCGGCTTTACCCACTGTGCCACAGAGCCAGTCCTGCTACTTAATCTTTTGACTTTTTTTTAAAAAAGATTTATTTATTTGAAAGTCAGAGTTACACACAGAGAGAAGGAGAGGCAGAGAGAGAGGTCTTCCATCGCTGGTTCACTCCCCAGTTGGCTGCAATGGCCAGAGCTGCGTCAATCTGAAGCCAGGAGCCAGGAGTGTCTTCTGGGTCTCCTATGTGGGTGCAGGGAACCAAGCACCTGGGCCATCCTCCACTGCCCTCCTGGGCCACAGCAGAGAGCTGGACTAGAAGAGGGGCAACCGGGACAGAATCCAGCACCCCAGCCGGGACTAGAACCAAGGGTGCCGGCACCACAGACGGAAGATTAGCCTAGTGAGCCGCAACACCAGCCCTGAATATATTGTTACCATGTAAAAAAAAAAAGTATATATTTGAAAGGCAGCGTGACAGAGAGAGATCCTTCATCCACTGGTTCACCCCCCAAATGGCCACAACAGCCAGAGCTGTGCTAGGGGAAAGCCAGGAGCCAGGAATTCCACCTCCATCCGGGTCTCCCACATGGGTAGCAGGATCCAAGCCATTTTCTGCTGCCTTCCCAGGGGCGTTAGCAGGAAGTAAAGCAGCCAGGTCCCTTAACTGGCACAGTGTGGGATGCCAGCGTTGTGAGCAGCGGCATAACCCCCGGTGCCACAGTGCCAGCCCCTTTAACAATTTTATAAATGTCCTTCGTCCCTCATTCATCTTTGTAAGAAGTGACATTTCATAGAATTGTTTGTATTCAAAATAGCAGTATTTTTTTAATTCCTGGAAAACACATGAAAAAAACTATATGTGGATTTAAAAAGTTTTTGCACCAAAATAAACATTTTTCTTCAAAAAGTGCTTTTTAAAAGATTTTTAAAAAACATTTACTGGCGCCGGCACCGTGGCTCACTTGGTTAATCCTCTGCCTGCGGCACCGGCATCCCATACAAGCGCAAGGTTCTAGTCCCGGTTGCTCCTCTTCCAGGCCAGCTCTCTGCTGTGGCCCGGGAAGGCAGTGGAGGATGGCCCAAGTGCTTGGGCCCTGCACCCCATGGGAGACCAGGAGGAAGCACCTGGCTCCTGGCTTCGGATTGGCACAGCGCCGGCCGTAGCGGCCATTTGGGGGGTGAACCAATGGAAGGAAGACCTTTCTCTCTGTCTCTCTCCCTGTCTGTAACGCTACCTGTCAAATAAAAACAAAACACTTAATTACTTATGTGAAAGGAGGAGGGGGAGAGGGAGATTTTACATCTGCTGATTCACTCCCCAAATGCCCGCAACAGCCAGGGCTGGACAGACTGAAGCCAGGCGCCCACTGCGCCATCCAGGTCTCCGCAGGGTGGCAGGAGCCCAAATTCCTGGGCCGTCTTTCACTGCGCTCCCAGATGCATGGGCGCTGGTGTTGCAAGCAGTGGCTTACCCTGCTGGGCCACCCTGCCGGCCCCTTAATTACATTTTCCGAGAACTTTTTGAAGGACCTGCATGTGTAAAATGATCTACCTAGTTCTGCACCCCGGTTTTTAAAGGTTGACTGTTAGGAATGCTTCCTGTCATGTTGGCAGTGACACCTGTGCCTTTGGGTAAAGATATCAGCGCCTTCGCAGTGCACATTCAGGTCCGCCAGGTCCTGGGCAGTGAGTGTCTGCGGCGCCCGCCTAGGACCTGCACCTCTGGGACTGTGGCAGCTCCCTCGGAGGCTCCTAGGACTGGCGCTCCTGCGGCAGCGACGCGAGCGCCTTTACGTCTCGTTTCTTCTCTTTTGTACAGAATTGCCATGTGGAGGCCTGCACCGGGCTCAGCAGGTCAAAGTCGCTGCGAGCGAGCACCGCTGGCATCCTGGGTGGAGCAGTCTGAGTGCAGGCTGCTCCGCTCCCCATCTAGGTCCCTCCTAACGCGACTGGGAAGACAGCAGATGACGGCCCAAGTGCCTGGGCCCCTGCCTCCCACGTGGGAGACCCAGATGGGCTTTCTGGCTCCTGGCTTTGGCCTGGACCCACCCCGGCCATTGTGGCTATTTGGGGAGTGAATCAGCATCTGGAATATCAATCTCTCGCTTGCTTGCTCTCTCTTGCTCTCTCTCTCTCTCTCTCCTCCCTCCCTCCTCCTCTGTCACTCTGCCCTTCAAATAAATAAAAAAAACTTTTCCCCCAAATTAAAGATTTATTTAAAGTGGGGGGGGGCACTGTGGCTTAGCGGGTAAAGCTGCCACCTATGGTGCTGACATTCCATATGGGTGCTGGTTCGAGTCCTGGCTGCTCCAGTTCTGATCCAGCTCCCTGCTAATGCGCTTGGGAAAGCTGGAAGATGGCCCAAGGGCTTGGGCCCCTGCACCCACATGGGAGACCAGGAAGAAGTTCCTGGCTCCTGGCTTCAGATCAGCCCAGCTCTGGCTGTTGAGGCCATTTGGGGAGTGAACCACCAGATGGAAGACCTCTCTCTCTGTCTCTCCTTCTCTCTCTCTCTCTAACTGCTTTTCAAATAAATAAATAAATAAATCTTTAGAGAGAGAGAGAGAGAGAGAGATGAGAGAGACCTTTCATCCCCTGGCTTACTCCCCAGATGGTTGCAATGGCCAGGGCTGGGCTAGGTGGAAGCCAAGAGCCAGGAACTCCATCCAGGTCTCCTGCGTGGCTCAGAGGGGCCCACGCACTAGGGCCGTCCTCTGCTGTCTTCCCAGGCACATCGGCAGGGAGCTGAGTTGGAAGCGGAGCAGGCAGGACTCGATCCAGCGCTCTGCTGCGGCTGTCAGCATTGCCAGCAGCAGCGCCTTTGCTTCCTGGTAAGTGCTGTGAAAGGGGCCGTGTCCTTACACTTTGCTTTGTTGCCTCCCCAGTCTCACCCTGCTTGCAGAAGCCCGCCTCTCACGTGGAACCTCTTCAACACGTACGGGAAGAGCCCCCTGGTTGTGCACTTCCTGCAGACCTACTGCACGCTGCCGCAGCATGGCATGGACGTGCTGGTGGTCAGGAGGGAGAGGACCACGCTGCTCCCATATCCTTGGGTCGCTCCAGGCCGCCGTGTCCTTAGCCCGGAGGCCAGGCTAGGGGAGAGGGCTCCAGGCTTTAGCACGGCGCCTGGCACCGAGTGGGTGCTCGCCGTGGGAGGCCGCTGCTGTGGGCCTCATGTCAGAGTCCTGCTCGTCCTGCTCCCAAATCCAGAGCCGGCCGCATGAACCGGCTGGGAGACGCTGGGCGAGCCGAATGCCCCTTTGTGCATTTTCCAGTATGAATGGGCTAACCAGGGATTCTGACTTCCTGTGAAACAAAACCAAGCTTCCCACGTGCTCACCAATCCCAGAGTGTGTACTGATGGGAGCTTTGGTGTCCACGTGTGTGTTTCTAGCACCACACACACACACACACACAGGCCCACCAGCACACTTCTGGCCCCAGTGCCACTGATTGTAAAGGTTTGGTAAAAAGCCCACAGCTCCGGCAGCGAGTGTGGCGTGCGTTGGTGTCCTGAGCCCTAACAGTGTCCCCCAGGCGGGAGAACCTGCACTCTGCGGCATCAGATTGGTGTGCTGGCTCAAGCAGAAGGGCCTGAGTTTAGATGAGTCGCACCTGTGTCTGTCATCTATAAAACAGGAGAAGTACCTGCGGAGGGCCGGCCCGCAGGGGGAGGCGGGTGCCGCCGCGCTCCACGGCTGCGCAGAGCTCCTCGGCACTGGTGACCGCCCAGGTCGGAACCTCACATCTCCAAGTGCACACACGCCCTTTTCTGTAAGATGCGAATGATAACGACTCAGAGTTCTGAGTGCTGCCTGGCGTAGAGGGGCTTTCCCGCACGTCGCCTTGCTGTGCCCTAGCCGCAGGGTGGTGCGGTGGAAAGAACTGCGTGGGGGACACACAGCTTGGGAGCTGAGCGTGCGTGGCTTCGCCTCACGCTCAGTGCCTTAACCTGCTCACCCCTAACCAGGGGCGCTGTGGTCCAGTGGTGTGCAGCCCTGACGTGGGCGGGACTCTCCCTGCTGTGGGAGGGGAGAGGCGTGGAGGACGCCTTTGGTCTTGGCTGCGGTCCCGCAGGTGGTGGTGAGTGTAGCCGAGGTCCTGTGCAGTCAGAAGGAGCGGGGAGGGCGGCGCAGAGAGACTTCAACGTGCAGCCTTGAGGCGGAGGAGGAGGCACAGGGCCCGAGAGGGAAGGAACCTTGGAACCGTCTCCTGTCCCCCCCAGGGCCACAGACTTCCAGGTGGCGGCTGAAGAAGCCCCTCCCGGGCCTCCTTTCCCACAGCAGGGCCGGAGAAGCACTGCACTTCCACGGTGGAGAACCGGCAGGCCGCTGGCCGCGGTTAAGAGCTGGAGGGTCATTTCCTGCTCAGATCCCCCGCACCCTGTCCAGACACTGAGGGCATGTCCCCTTCTCTGCCATCCCAGCTCCTTCCTGCCCAGGCAGTAGGCTCAGGCCACTAATAATGCAGCCCGCACGGTGCAGTCTGGGCTCTTCCTTGACAGCCAGAGCCACTGGGTCCACCCTGACCTACGCCGAGCTCATCAGCCTGACCCTGAACAGCATGCAGAAGCGGAAGGACAACATGCGCCAGCTGAACCGGCTCTACCGCAGCGAGTGGAGCTATTTCGATAGCTACCTGAAGGCGCTGCGAGAGAACCTCCTGAGGTGCTGACGAGACCTGAGGGGCCAGCCCTTGCTCGAGCATTTTTTTTAAGATTTATTTTATTTATTTGAAAGGCAGGGTTTCAGAGAGAGGTAGACCCAGAGAGAGAGGTCTTCCATCTGCTGGTTCACTCCCCAGATGGCTGCAAAACGGCCAGAGCTGCGCCGATCCAAAGCCAGGAGCCAGGAGCTTCTTCCAGGTCTCCCACACGGGTGCAGGGGCCCGAGCACGTGGACCATTTTCCGTGGCTTTCCCAGGCCACAGCAGAGAGCCGCATCAGAAGTGGAGCATCAGGGACTCGAACCAGCGCCCCCAGGGGATGCCGGCGCTGCAGGCGGAGGCTTAGCCCACTGCTCTGCAGCACCTGCCTCCCACGGCGTTCTTTTCACATCTGTCTTATAGTGGCAGACAAGCCTATGACGACATCTTCCTTCACTGGAATGTTTTGTCGCTGTTTTGTCCACTTTGAATAGCCCTAAGCTGGTGCTAGGTTGAGGAAGCGTCTCTTCGTGTCTGAAAGGCCAACAGACGCAGCACCCAGCTCGGCACTCCTGCCAGGCGCTGCACGGTCCTGGCTCGGCGCTCCTACCGGGCGCTGCGCGTCCCCAGCTCGGCGCTCCTGCTGGGTGCTGCGCGTCCCCGGCTTGGCGCTCCTGCTGGGTGCTGCGCGTTCCCAGCTTGGTGCTCCTGCTGAGCGCTGCGCGTCCCGTGGACGCGCTGACTGGACACCTCCTCCTACGGCCATAGCAGCCACTGATGGTTTTTGAGCGCTTCCTGTGTACCAGGCACTCTGTTGAGCACTGGGCCTGTGGCACTCCGGCCTCGTCATGGCACAGGTTCTGGCATCACCGTGTTGAGATGCGTCCGCGGGCACAGCGTGCAGCCCGCCTCCTCTCCGAGTGCGCGTGGATCTCCTCCCCGGGCTCCCTAGTCTGAGCCTTGGCCTCTGGAGTGCAGGGGCCGCTTCCTAGCCCTAGGGGTCACCGTGGCCTCTGCCGTGTGCTCGGCTAATTCCTGAGCCCGCGCGGGTTGGCCGTCTGTGTATGGAGCCGGCAGTGCTTCCCGGGGTCGGAGTGACTGACCTTCCCGTACGTGTCTGCCCGGTCTCTCCAGGGAGGTGAAGAACATCAATAAGAGAGCAGCCGAGAAAAAGAAAGCGAGCCAGAGGTTCCTCCCGCCCTCGTCCTTCAGCGAGGAACAACCTGAGAAGAAGCCTGGGGGAAGTCACCACGCGGAAACTGCCTTTCTCTTAAGGTTTGTTCGCACGGAATCCACGGGAGGAGCGGAAGTGTGGGCCGCGCAGGAAGTCGGAGAACCTGGGCACCGGGTCACGACAGGTCCCTGGGTTCACGTCTGCCTCACTCGACCTCTTTCATGGTGGTCAGAGCTGCTGGTGCAGTCACTGCTGGATGGCCCGCCTAGCTCACCGCCCCTTGGGGCCCCGTCCTGGACAGCCCGCCTGGCTCACGGCCCCTTGGGGCCCCGTCCTGGACAGCCCGCCTGGCTCACGGCCCCTTGGGTCCCCGTCCTGGACAGCCCGCCTGGCTCACGGCCCCTTGGGGCCCCGTCCTGGAGGGTCTGTGTAGCTCACAGCCCTCTTCATCCCAGAGGCCGGAAGCCACATCAAGCCTCGGAAGCCGATGGAGAATCTAGGGGCTCCGGTCCACGGTTCCAGGTTTATTTGATCTGATAGAGACCTGGGGCTGCTATCCTCACAGTGCCAAACACAAAAAGAAGTCAGACATCCTCTCTCCTCTTCCATAAACCAAGACTCGTTAAAGCCTCTGATGGCTCGCTTGGGTCATCGCCTGTCTGGACCAACTCTGCACTGGGGAGGGGGCGGTGCTGTGAGTGGCCAGAGGACACAGGGCACAGCCGCTGACATGGGCTAGGACGGGCGGGAAGCCCCAGAGAATACACGCCTACTTTATTTATGCGTAATTCATGCAGACACTGTTAGATATCAGCACCCCCCCTCACTAAACAGAAAACAGAGGGGCAGAGAAGCCCAGCTCTTCGTGGACCTTGCCCTCGTGGCTGTGGGCTAGGGGAGGGAGGGTCGCACACGCAGGTACCTGCGGCCAGGGTGCCTGAGTCCTGAGGGGACCTGGGAAGGGAACAGGGCGGGGAGGCCTCACTTCTCTGGGAGGGGCGAGGAGGGCGGGCGTTCCAGGCAGAAGGCAGGACGGGACGCTCCACCCCTGCTGGGCCCGGCCAGGCGGGGAAAGTCCGCGAGTCCGCGGGAGGGCAGGGGCAGCAGGGGCCTGGCCTGCTCACCCCCTGCCGCCCGTGGGCAGCCATCCGGGGCTTCAGCAGGAGCAGCGGCAGACCTGCATTTTCGTCAGATGAATACACGTAGCGTCTGCGGGTCAGAGTCAGCCCCAGGCCACACAGCAGCCCCCCGGACTGCCGCAGAAGTTCAACTTCGACTCTTTGAGCCGTTTTCCTGGAAACTTCACTCTGTTGTTCTACATAATGTGCTCACCTAGTACTTCTTGATTTTTTTTTTTGATTTTTGAGATCATCTATTGATAATTATTTTCCCAGGTTGCTGAGAACTATCAAAAACTATGCAGCGTTATCTTCCGTATACTCAAGTGTATCATGTATTATAGTATATCAGATAGTCTATTAACTCCTTCCTCTTATTTATTTATTTATTTGAGAGACAGAAAGAGCGTGCATCTGGTGAATGGTTCTCCAAATGCTCTGTGGCCAGGACAGGGCCAGGTTGAAGCCAGGAGCTGGGACCTCTGTGGATCTCCCATGTATGTGGCAGGAGCTGGGACCTCTGTGTGGATCTCCCGTGTACGTGGCGGGAGCTGGGACCTCTGTGGATCTCCTGTGTACGTGGCGGGAGCAGGGATCTCTGTGGATCTCCCGTGTACGTGGCGGGAGCAGGGATCTCTGTGGATCTCCCGTGTACGTGGCGGGAGCAGGGATCTCTGTGGATCTCCCGTGTACGTGGCGGGAGCAGGGACCTCTGTGGATCTCCCGTGTACGTGGCGGGAGCTGGGACCTCTGTGGATCTCCCGTGTACGTGGCGGGAGCTGGGACCTCTGTGGATCTCCTGTGTACGTGACGGGAGCTGGGATCTCTGTGTGGATCTCCCGTGTATGTGGCGGGAGCTGGGACCTCTGTGGATCTCCCGTGTACGTGGCGGGAGCTGGGACCTCTGTGGATCTCCTGTGTACGTGACGGGAGCTGGGATCTCTGTGTGGATCTCCCGTGTATGTGGCGGGAGCTGGGACCTCTGTGGATCTCCCGTGTATGGGGTGGGAGCTGGGATCTCTGGATCTCCCGTGTATGTGGCGGGAGCTGGGATCTCTGTGGATCTCCCGTGTACGTGGTGAGAGCTGGGATCTCTGTGGATCTCCCATGTACGTGGAGGGAGCTGGGATCTCTGGATCTCCCATGTATGTGGCAGGAGCTGGGATCTCTGTGGATCTCCCGTGTACGTGGCGGGAGCTGGGATCTCTGTGTGGATCTTCTGTGTATGTGGCGGGAACCCAGTTACTTGAGGCATCACTCCTCTCTCTCTGCGTTATCGGGACACGGAGTTGAAGCCAGGTAGTGAACACACGTACTCTGACCCCAAGTGCTCCAGTATGGGATGCAGGCGTCTGAACTGGCGTCTTCACCACGAGGGAGAACACACGCCCTCTGCCCTCTTTTTCTTTTCTTCCCCATCATGAGGTTCTCCCGCTCAGGCCTTCACCTCGTCCAGTCTGGGCTGCTGTGCTGTAGGTTGGCTTCCAGCTCCCACCTTGGGACTTTGTTCACCATCTCCTGGGTCTTCTCTTTGGCAGCTTTGTCTGGTTGGAGCCCCCAGGTCACGTGTCCATCACCTGGTCTTCCCTTTGGCATCTTTGTCTGGTTGGAGCCCCAGGTCACGTGTCCATCACCTGGTCTTCCCTTTGGCATCTTTGTCTGGTTGGAGCCCCCAGGTCACGTGTCCATCACCTGGTCTTCCCTTTGGCATCTTTGTCTGGTTGGAGCCCCAGGTCACGTGTCCATCACCTGGTCTTCCCTTTGGCATCTTTGTCTGGTTGGAGTCCCAGGTCACTGTCCATCACCTGGTCTTCCCTTCAGCAGCTTTGTCTGGTTGGAGTCCCAGGTCACGTGTCCATCACCTGGTCTTCCCTTCAGCATCTTTGTCTGGTTGGAGTCCCAGGTCACGTGTCCATCACCTGGTCTTCCCTTCGGCAGCTTTGTCTGGTTGGAGTCCCCAGGTCACGTGTTCATCACCTGGTCTTCCCTTCAGCAGCTTTGTCTGGTTGGAGTCCCAGGTCACGTGTCCATCACCTGGTCTTCCCTTCAGCAGCTTTGTCTGGTTGGAGTCCCAGGTCACGTGTCCATCACCTGGTCTTCCCTTTGGCAGCTTTGTCTGGTTGGAGCCCCAGGCCACATGTCTTCCTCTTGTTTTACTCCCTCACCTTGCTGGAGCACATCCTGTAGTAGGTCCCAAAGAAAAGGTTTGTGGGAAACGTGTGTCTTTGCATGCCTAAAATGCCTTTTTTCTTGAGTAGTATATGAGAGATGTTTCAGAGGGAATAAAATTCTAAGAATCCAGTTTGCCACAGGACTTTCCAAATTTTTTCCTGTGTTCTCCTTTTGCTGCTGAGAAACCTCATGCCATGCTGATTCCTGTGGCTTTGTACGTCACTGAACAGTGACACAGAAACATGGTCTGTCTTCCTGGTTTCCTGAGGTGTGATTTACTGCTATGTTCTACTGGTGTTGGGGGCCCTCTCAGCTTAGGGAGCTGTGCATTTAATTGTGAGACACTCCCCTTAGCATTTCTCTGCTAATTTCCTCCCTTTTGTTTCCTTGCTATGAGGTCCTAGAGCAGTGCCAGCCACGTCCAGTGAGTCAGGAGGTCTCCTGCCTATTCTGATTCTTAGAAGAGTTTGAGAACAATTGGTGTTTCCTCTTCTTGTTGTTTTAAACAATACATATTTTTTAAAAAGATTTATTTATTTATTTGAAAGGCAGAGTTACAGAGGCAGAGAGAGACAGAGAGAAGTCTTCCATCCGATGGTTCACTCCCTAGATGACTACAAAGGCCGGAGCTGAGCTGATCTGAAGCCAGGAGCCAGGAGCTTCTTCCGGGTCTCCCACACGGGTGCAGGGGCCCAAGGACTTGGGCCATCCTCCGCTGCTTTCCCAGGCCATAGCAGAGAGCTGGGTTGGAAGTGGAGCAGCCGGGACTCGAACCAGCGCCCATATGGGATGCTGGCACTGCAGGCGGCGGCTTCACCTGCTGCACACGGCGCCCGCCCTGTTCATTCTCCTGCATCTGGAAGAGTTCAGTGGCGCCCTGGAGTCTGGGCTTTCCCTTGTCAGCAGGCTTTCTGATTCAGTGCTCTTGTCATAAGTCGATGCAGAATTTCAATTTTTTGTTCTCATATTTGATCATTTACTTCTGGAATTTTTCCTTTTATTTCTGTAATTTTGGTAATAAATATTTTTCATTTCTGAATCAACTTGCACCTTTTTGGTAGTCAGCTGACCTGAAGATTTGTTAATTTGGTTGATGGTTTCAAAACCCGACCTTTTGTTTCGTTCACTGAGTGCTGTTTTCCAGTCCCTGCTGCACTCCTCTCTCTGGCCTCATCTCCTCCCTCCCGCTCGCTCCTCTCTCCTGGCTCCTTCAGTCACAGAGAGCAGGCAATGGTTCGGGTCTTCTTGTCAGATGTCGCATCGCAGCTGTCAGCGCCCCTCTGAGCCCGGCTGGTGCTGCACTCCCTCAGTTTGGGTATGCTAGGTCTCTACTGTCATCTCAAAATGTTTGAAAACTTACCCGATGCTTTCTCTTCTGGTCCGGAGCGTGTTCTTTGGGAATAAGGACCACAAGCCTAAGAACGTATTGTGCAAAATATCCAAGGAAGTCCTTCAGGCTTGTGGGCCTGGTTCCCTTCCCCACGTAGCCTCACAGATAACATCCTGAAGATTCACGCGTGAAAGTGGGAGGCAGGCCGGCGCCGCGGCTCACTAGGCTAATCTTCCACCTGCAGCGCTGGCACACTGGGTTCTCTTCCCGGTCGAGGCGCTGGATTCTGTCCCGGTTGCCCCTCTTCCAGGCCAGCTCTCTGCTGTGGCCCGGGAGTGCAGTGGAGGATGGCCCAGGTGCTTGGGCCCTGCACCCCATGGGAGACCAGGAGAAGCACCTGGCTCCTGCCTTCAGATCAGCGCGGTGAGCCGGCCTTGGCGGCCATTGGAGGGTAAACCAATGGCAAAGGAAGACCTTTCTCTCTGTCTCTCTTTCTCACTGTCCACTCTGCCTGTCCAAAAAAAAAAAAAAAAAAAAGTGGGAGGCACAGAGCCTGAAAACACAGTCCGAGCTGGCAGCTGTGCCACAACAGCGCTGTCTCCGGCAGGGTGCTACCCCTAGCACGCCGGCTACAAGACCCAGCCTCAGGGCCACCAGGGCGCCTGCAGGGCCCTGGGACACGTCCCCTGCGGCCATGCTCCTATGTGGACTTGTGGCGGACGGAGGCAATGCGGGCATGGAAGCCCGTGAGGTCCACACCAGCCTGTGTGGAGAGGAGTGTTGCTCATGGCCTGCGTGTAAGAGTGGCCACTGGCCACTCACAGGCCAGAGCTGCAGCTGGGGCAGGGTCCACTCGTGGTGGAGGGAGCAGGAGCAGGAAGAGGCCCCGGGCTGAGAGCCTGGACCTGCCTCAGCACCCCACGACGTGTCATTCTGTCCTCCTTTCTAGAAGCGTCTACATTTCATCTTCCAACCCTTATTTTTTAAAAGATTTATTTATTAAATTGAAAAGTAGAGTTAGAGAGAGAGAGAGAGAGAGAGAGGTCTTCTATCCACTGGTTCACTCCCCAAATGGCTGCAATGGCTGGAGCTGGACCAATCCGAAGCCAGGAGCTTCTTCTGAGTCTCCTATGCGGGTGCAGGGGCCCAAGCACTTGCAGTATCTTTCACCACTTTCCTGGGTGCATTAGCAGGGAGCTGGATCAGAAGAGGAGCAGCCGGGACTGGAACCAGCACCAGTAGGAGGCGCCAGAGTCATAGGCAGTGGCTGTACCTGCTGCACCACAGCTCTGGCCCCTCTTTTACTTTAAAAAATTCTTCGGTGATGTTATTCGTTGCTCACCAATGGAGAGACTTTCTCTATCTACCTCTCAAAAAATTTTTTTTTAATTTTTTAAAAATTCCAGGGGATGAGCATTGGTTGCAGTGGTTAAACTGCTACTAGATGACTCCTTACTGGACAGCCAGGTTCAAGTCTCAGCGGCTCTGCTTCCAGAGCAGCTTCCCACCACTGTGCCCCCTGGGAGGCAGCGGTGATGGCGCAAGGCCTGGGTCCCTACCACCAACCTGGCAGGTCTGGATGGAGTTCCTGGCTTCGGCCTGGCCCAGCCTGTTGCTGGCTTTGAGGTAGTGAACCAGTAGATGGAAGGTCTCTCCTCGCTCTCGTTCTCGCTCTCACTCTCTCTGTCTCTCTACCTTTCAAGTAAAATATAGTAATAATAACAAAAACAATAATAATAGCGATTCCAGTAAACTCTCTGAAGGAAGCGCACTGAATTTCTGAGTAGATTTTTGTTGACGTCTCTCGTTTTCCCCACAGGAAGGAAAAGAAAGAGCAAGAAAGGGCAGAAGAACAGAGTCTGACCCTCCTCCCCGCTCACTTCGACAGCCCGATGCACTCCCTGCCGTGGAAGGAGAGCCCCTATCAAGTCCGCGACCTCTCTGAGTCCAGGTGAGGACAGGAAGTCCTGCCCCAGGGCTGAGGGATGGGTCCCTGTTCGCCCCAGCAGGTGTTCCTGGAAGGCAGGAGTGGGGAGTTAGGTGCTCGGGGCCCTGCATTGATTGCCCCTTGTTATTTTATTTAAAATACATAAATAGCAGCACTACACTGCAGTATGGTAGCCGGGACTCCATACCCACTGTCTCCTCTGGGCCCAGCCCTGAGCCGAGCGTGCCACACCAGGACCTCACATGGAAGTGCACACCGCACGCCACAAGGGTTATCCGCGGGTTTACACAGAGGGCCTGGATTTAAAGAGGGTTCAAAAGTCCCCCGGCGCAGACACTGGGAAAATCACAGTGGGTGCGATGCAGCCCCTGGTGTCCACGGGAGCAGAGGGAAGACACGCATGTCACATCAGTGTCACCAGTCCTGGAGATGCTGGTGGCCAAGTGGCAAGAGAGAGGCAGAAGCCTGGTGCCCTGTAGAGACACCTAACAGAGTGGCGCCCCGGGCCTGAGCCTAGAACATGGGAGACGGGGTTTGCTAGGCAGGGGCAGGGCCACAAAGGAAGAGTGGGCGGAGCAGAGTGGGGTCACCACAGGCCAGATCCGGAGGAGGCGCAGCCGGAAGTCAGGTACAGGCACCAGGGCTTCCAGGAGAGGTGAGCCTGCAGACACTCCCTGCACAGCTGGGAGGGGTTCCCATGCCACGCCACGCCACGCCACACCACGCCACACCACCCTGTGTTTTCCAAGTCACCAGGAGCCCCTGGAAGATGTTACACAGGGAATCACATGGTCAGGTATCGCTTTTAGAAGTCCCGATGCAGGGGCCGGCGCTGTGGCGTAGCGGGTGAAGCCGCCTCCTCAGTGCCGGCATCCCGTGTGGGTGCCACTTGGAGTCCAGGATGCTCCACTTCTTCTTTTTTTTTTTTTTTTTTTAAAGATTTTATTCATTTATTTATTTGAGAGGTAGAGTTACAGAGAAAGAGAGAAAGAGACAGAGAGAAAAGTCTTCCATCCGCTGGTTCACTCCCCAAATTGCCAGTGCTTGGCCAATCCAAAGACAGGAGCCAGGAGCTTCTTCCAGGTCTCCCACGTGGGTGCAGGGGCCAAAGCACTTGGGCCATCCTCCACTGCTTTCCCAGGCCACAGCAGAGAGCTGGATTGGAACATACACACATACACACACACACACACACACACAAACCTGCCCCACAGCAGGAAGGTTGGCTTTTAAAATATTTTATTTTATTTGAAAAGTAGACAGAGACAGAGATCTTTCATCTGCTGGTTCATCCTCCAAGTGCCAGCATTTTCCCAGGGATGGGCCAGATTGAATCCAGGAGCCAGGAACTCCATCCGAGTCCCCCACGTGGGTGGCAGGGACTCAAATACTTGAGCCATCACCTGCTGTCTCCCAGGGTGCACGTTAGTGGGAAGCTGGACTGGAAGTGGAGGAGTGGGGGCCAGCGCTGTGGCGTAGCAGGCTAAGCCTCCACTTGCATTGCTGGAATCCCATATGATCACTGCTTCGTGTCCCGGCTGCTCCTCTTCCCATCCAGCTCTCTGCATGGCCTGGGAAAGCAGTAGAAGACGGCCCAAGTCCTTGGGTCCCTGCACCTGTGTGGGAGACCTAGAAGAAGCTCCTGGCTCCTGGCTTTAGATCAGCTCATCCCTGGCTGTTGCAGCCATCTGGGGAGTGACCCAGCAGATGGAAGACCTCTCTGTCTCTCCCTCTCTCTGTCTGTAATTCTGCCACTCAAATGAATAAATAAAATCTTAAAAAAAAAAAAAAAAAAAGAATGGAGGAGCAGGGACTCAAACCAGGCATATGGCACACAGGCCTCCCGAGCTGTGTACTTAACCACTGCATCAAACAGCCCCTTCTGTTTTTACTCTAATTAACGTCATCCATGTCGTGTTTTAGCGGTCGATGGAGACAGCTCTGGGGTCAGACTACCGGGGCTTTAATCCCAGCATCTCCATGACCTGCTTTGCTGCGCAGCCTCTAGCTCTTCCCTTCTGTGTCTCTCGTTCCTTATCTCTACGGCGGGACGATAACAGTTGGTGTAGTGCAGGGCGTTATGAGGATGGCATTGGCTGGATATTCATAAAGTCCTTGGAACAGCGCCTGATGCAGAGTACATGTAATAGAAAAGCTTATTAAATAATTGTTCTATAAAGCTCGTTACCAAAAACTGCGCTCCCCTGGACCCCAGCAACAACTCTCCACTTCGTTAATGACTGTTTGAGGATTTGCTCTCTGTGTGTCTGAATACCAAGCTTTTCTAGCCACTTCTCGATTTCTCAGTGTTAGGCATTACAGATGAGGACTGGGATCTCTGTCTCTCCAGGCTCACTCTCTCCCTCTCTCTCCCACTCCTCTCTCTTTCCCTCCCCCTCTTGCTCTCTCTCATACACACACACACACACACACACACACACACACACGTCCCATCTCCCATCCTTGCAATGGATTGATATAGTAATTTTGGCTGTTATCAGCATTGTGATACCATTAACACTCTGGCCAACTAATCCATGGGGTATACTGTGTTTATTTTTCTCTCCTTTTTTCTTTAAAAGATTTATTTATTTGAAAGGCAGAGTTACAGAGAGAGAGAAAGAGAAACAGAGATATTCCATCTGCCGGCTCATTTCCCAAATGGTTACAACAGTCAGCGCGGGGCCAGGCCAAGGCCAGGAGCCCGGAGTTTCATCCACATTCTCCCATGTGGGTGGCAGGGGCCCAGCTACTTGGGCTGTCTTCTGCTGCTTTCCCAGGTGCATTAGCAGGGAGCTGGATGGGAAGTAGGGCAGCCAGGACTTGAACCAGTGCCCATATGGGATGCTGGTGTCACAGGTGGCAGCTTAAGGTTTACTCCCCAAATGGAGGCAATGGCTGGGGCTGGGCCAGGCCGAAGCCAGGAGCCAGGAGCTTCATCCAGGTCTCCCACGTGGGTGCAGGGGGCCCAAGGACTTGGCCCATTTTCCGCTGCTTTCCCAGGCCATTGGCATAGAGCTGGGTCAGAAGTGGAGCAGCCAGGACTCGAACCAGCACCCATATGAGATGCTGGCCTCCCACAACACTTCCAATACACCACAACACAGGCCCCTATTTTCCTGTTTTTATACGACTTTCGCCTTCCCGGGAACTAAGTCTGTCTATTTGTTTGTATTTTTTCTGCTTTGTTCCTTTTATTTTTTTCTCATATATGCCAGAGCTTTGCATCCTGTCCCTCGGCTCTGGAAGTCCCTGCATGTGTTCAGACGTGCAAGTGTGCACGGCTGTCCCGGCCCAGCCCCTGACACGCTTCGCTCTGGGCAGTTGATTTCTGAGCTGTTTGCATGGCCCTGGGGTCCCTTCTGCACTCTCCTGATCAGACTGGTTTATGCATCGTGTTTGTGTCCTTGTGTTCACTCCCAGAGAGGCGGAGATCACCAAGAAGCCCAGAGCAGTGCAGAAAAAGGACGCGGTCATCCTCAGCCTCTCCCCTGCCAGCTCACACGAGTGACTCCGTGTCCGGAAACTGGGAGAAACTCCTAAGGGGAAGCCCACATGTGTTGTCGGATTTAATCCATAGCAGAAACAGCAAAGCAAAACAACAACAACAAAAAAAATCACCTCAACCAGGGCACATTCAGGTGATCCCGGGCTATGCACACAGAATATTAAAGGTCACTCCCGCCGTGGGCCAGAGTCAGCACGTGAGCGGGAATTAATGCGCCTCGCTCGCTCAGGCTTGCACTCACTGTCGTCCTTTTGTTTTTCTGATGGATTTATGTATTCGTGTTTGTGTGATGAATTTTTGTATTTGAGAGACAGACAGAGAGCTCCCATCTGCTGGTTCCCTCTACCCAAATCCCCACATGGCCCAGGCTGGGGAACCGGCTGGCTGCTTGGCACGAAGCAGGCGCTCGGGACTTTGGGGTCTCCCGCAGGCGGACACCTTCACTTGAACCCTGAGCATCGCTCTGGGTGACCGTCTTGGAGAACATTGCCCAGGTAGAAGGTGGAGGGGGGCGGCTAGGGAAAGAACTCCGCCCTCGGCATGACAAGAGTCAGGCCCAGAATCCCCGTCCGGCTTCGTGACCGATGGGGGACTTCGGACTTCGTAGCTGGCTGTGGGAGTTTGTTTTTGAGAACAAAGACGGGATGGCGGGCTCAGGAGGCAGGGCGTGATGGCTGAATAAGCACTCGTGCAGAGTCCTCGGCACGGCGCATGTTACTGGGTCCTCGCCACAGCCGTGACTGTTGGATATTATTAGGATGCAAAGTGCTGTCTTCCTCAGCGCTGGCCGTGTGCCGCACGTGCTGGGCCCGAGGCGCCGTGCAGCGCAGGTCATCACCTTCCGGCCTTCCCTGTACAACTCCAGCCACAGCCAGCTCTTCGTGCAGCTCTGCTGTGCCCTTTGCTAGTTCTGGGCCCTTTTTCTGATACTGCTTCTGTACTGGAAATCCCTCCCCCCTTCTCTGTGAACTCCCAACATCACTAACTCCTGCTGCTCATCCAGGGCCCCGCTTGCCATGTCCCCTCCTCTGGGAAGCCTTCCCTGATACACCACCAGCAAGGTGGGCACCAGGGGCCCCTCTGCATGCTCCAGCAGCCTTTCCCGCACCCCATATGGTTGCAGTCACCGAGAGGTGTGACGTCTGGTTACTGTCTACCTCTGCCGTCAGTCTCGCCCAGAAAGAAGGCCTCCCGGGCCTTGGAGGAGCTGTGCTACCTCCTCTCTCGGGACACGGCTGTGGGGCCCAGGATCGCCTCTCTGGAAATTACTGAGGTCTCATAACCATAGGTCTTGCAGGAAGTTTAAGACGGGAAGACTGGCCTTGCTCTTCGTAAATCTATCAGAAGGAGAATTTTTGTGGAAGAATTCATTGCCGTTTATAAGGGGAGAGGGGTTCAACGTCAAAGGGAACTAACATTTTTAAAGCATTTGCAGTAATTTTTTTTTTTTTTGACAGGCAGAGTGGACAGTGAAAGAGACAGAGAGAAAGGTCTTCCTTTGCCGTTGGTTCACCCTCCAATGGCCGCCGCGGCCGGCGCGTTGCGGCCGGCGCACCGCGCTGATCCGATGGCAGGAGCCAGGAGCCAGGTGCTTTTCCTGGTCTCCCATGGGGTGCAGGGCCCAAGCACCTGGGCCATCCTCCACTGCACTCCCGGGCCACAGCAGAGAGCTGGCCTGGAAGAGGGGCAACTGGGACAGAATCCGGCGCCCCGACCGGGACTAGAACCCGGTGTGCCGGCGCCGCTAGGCGGAGGATTAGCCTAGTGAGCCGCGGCGCCGGCCTCATTTACTGTGATGTGGGACAAAGCAAATGAGTGATCGCACGGTCTCCAATTCTCTTTCCCAGTGTTGCTGAGAACCAGCGCTCTCTGCGTGGAAGAGGGGAAACCAGACGGCAAACTGGAAGTGGCTCAGTTAGAGTCCTGTAGTCTTCATTCTGAACTGGCTATAAATTAAGGACGAGGAGCTGGCACAGGTATTTGGCGTAGAGGTGAAGCTGCTGGTTGGGGACCCCACGTCCCGCATCAAAGTACGTCCATGTGAGGAGCCGGTGTGGCGCAGTGGGCTGAACCGCTGCTTGTGATGCCGGCATCCCATCTTGGAGCCCAGTTCAGCTCCCTGATCATGTGCCGGGGACGGCAGCAGAGCGTGGGCCAAGCGCTTGGGCTCCCGCCACCTGCATGGAGTTCTGAGCTCCTGCTTCATCCTGGCGTAGTGCCAGCCATTACGGCGTTTGAGGAGTGAGCCAGAGGGTGGAAGCTTCTCTCTCCCTCTCTCTCTCCCTCTCTGTCAAATAAATCTAAACAAACAAACAAACAAACAAAAAAAACACCCTAGGTTTGAGTTCTAGCCCTGCTGCCAATTCCGTGTCCTACCAGTGGGGACCCTGGGAGCTGAGACGCAGGGTCGCTGCCACTCGCACAGGAGGCCGGGATTCTCAGCACCCAGCTTGGCCCAGCCCAGCCCCGCCCCGGTTGTTGCAGACATTTAGGGAGGTGAACCAGAAGGCGCGAGCTGTGCATGGATGTATGTGACGCTGTCTCTCAAAAACAAAAGAAGCGTTGCGTGGGAGACATGGAGGATGGCTAGAGGGGAGGGGAGAGGAGGATGGAGAGGATGGGAGAGAGCCCATTGGTTTATACACCCCAAATGCACGCTTGAAACATGTGCAGTTTCTCATGTCAATTGTAACCAAATAAAGCTGTTGTTTAAAAAAATACTCATATTCTAATATTTCATTGAAATGACCAAGAAATAAAGACTCATTCAGTGGCGATGACCCAGACTGTGGTCTTGGAATATGATTTGCACATGGGGCCGGCGCCGTGGCGCAGCAGGTTAGCGCCCTGGCCTGAAGCACCGGCATCCCATGTGGGTGCCAGTTAGAGACCCAGCTGCTCCACTTTCAATCCAGCTCTCTGCTATGGCCTGGGGAAGCAGCAGAAGATGGCCCAAGTGCTTGGGCCCCTGCACCCACATGGAAGACCTGGAAGAAGCTCCTGGCTTCAGATCGGCGCAGCTCTGGCTGTTGCAGCCAACTGGGGAGTGAACCAGCGGATGGAAGACCTCTCTCTCTCTCTCTCTCTTTGCCTCTACTCTCTCTGTGTAACTCTGACTTTCAAAATAAATCTTTTTTTAAAAAAGAAGAAATATGATTTGCACTGAAAGGACCAGGGCTCCTTGGAGACACGACGGGTTCCAGGCCTGGGCAGGGAACGCGTGAGTCGAAGCCGGAACATCTTGTCGCGCTGCATAGCAAAGGAGCCACCAGCAAGATTCAGAAACCAGCTTGGAGAAGGTACGATGAGTACTAGGAACATTTGAGTGCCCATAGCAATGAGCATCGCCTCAGACTGAGGCACGTCCAGCGTGTTTTTCCTGTGACTTCACATCGTCACCTTGAAAGAAGCTAAGTGACAACACTAGGGAACCGACGCGTCATCCTGAACACTGGCCATGCAGGGGACGCCTGAGCACCGGTCATTCCATCCCCGCATGAGCGGCATCACCAGGTAACCAAACTGCAGATGCAGCAGGCTTCCTCAGAAACACCAGCTTGGGGGCTGGCGTCGTGGCACAGCAGGTAAAGCCGCCGTCCACGAGGCGGGCATCCCATATGGGCACCGGTTTGTCTCCTGGCTGCTCCACTTCCAATCCAGCTCCCTGCTAATGTGCCCGGGAAAGCAGCAGCAGATGGCCCAAGTGTTTGGGCTCCTGCCACCCACACGGGAGACCCAGAAGAATTTCCTGGCTTCGGCAGGGGAGTAAACCAGCAGATGGAAGATCTCTCTCTCTTTTTCTCTCTCCTTCAAATAAATAAAACAAAAAGAAACACTTCATCTATTATGAAAGAATGATAGACTTAAATGTCACCGTTGTATAATCCCCGATGAATCTGTGTCTGCTGATGTCCTTAAAAGATACAGGCATTGATTAAATGGCCCCAATGAGGGACAGCAACAAACCCACGAGACAGTCTCACTGAATAATCCCATCTAGACTCTACTTCCGGCCTCCACCAGAGGAAAGGCAGAGGAGGGGAGCACAGCAGACCCACCAACAGGAGACAGCAAAACCCGGGGGAAAATGACTGTGTTTTCAACATATACGCTGCAAAGGAAAAAGAGGGAACCTATAGACCGAAGAGACTTAGAAGGCGGCAATCAGTTGTAGCATGTGGATACTATCTGGACCCTGGCGGAAGCAAACTTGAAGCTGGGTGATGGAGATATTCTGCTCTTTTGCTTTTATTTATATGCAAAATTACCCGTGATTCTAAAAAAAAATCCCGGGGTAGGCACTGTGGCATGGTGGGTTAAGCCGCCACTTTGAACGCTCACTTCCCATACAGGGTCCCAGCTACTCCACTTCCAGTTCACCTTCCTGCGAACGCACCTGGAAGGCAGTAGACGATATCCAAGTGCTTGGGCCGCTGCCACCCATGTGGGACACCCAGACGGAGTTCTTGGTTCCTGGCTTCAGCCTGGCCCAGTCCTGGCTGTTGCAGGCACCTGGGGAGAGAATCAGCAAATGGAATTCTCTCTCTTTTTCTGCCTTTAAAAAAATACATTACAAAAAAAAAAAAAAAAAAAGGCATTGACTATGGCACTCCTAAGTCTTTTACTAAACCTTCTTTCATTGTCTTCTCGCCATAACTGCGTGAAGTACAATGTTACCCGTTTTCACACGGAGGCCCTTGGTACCTGAGGCCACCATCACCCTGACCAGACCTTCACACGGTTCTCCTGGTGTTCTCTGCCCTCTCTCTCGACGCTTGATCCATCCTGCACCCAGCGGTCCACCAGTCCATGTGTCCTAGCCCGTTCCATTCTCACGACAACTCTCGGTACTGTTAGGATTCTTGGTCTTCAGACAAAGAAACAAAGACACAGGGAGGTTAAAGAACCCCCCAGGACTGAGGCGTGCAGATGTCTGGCTTGGCTGCCGCTCCTGTGTGTGCTTAGGCGTATGCAGATAAGTGGACAATGAAGTCAGGGCCCGCCAGAGCACGGCCACGGGAGCCAGGCTGGGAGCCGGGCAAGTTACCAGGTGTGGCATCTCAGCCCCATCACGTGTGAGCAGGGCCATAATAATTCCTACCTTGTGGTGTCGTGAGCTGTGATACACTCAATTGTGTCTCTCTTTTTTTTTTTTTTTTTTTTTGACAGGCAGAGTGGACAGTGAGAGAGAGACAGAGAGAAAGGTCTTCCTTTGCCGTTGGTTCACCCTCCAATGGCTGCCGCGGCCGGCGCGCTGCGGCCAGCACACCACGCTGATCCGATGGCAGGAGCCAGGTGCTTCTCCTGGTCTCCCATGGGATGCAGGGCCCAAGCACTTGGGCCATCCTCCACTGCACTCCCTGGCCACAGCAGAGAGCTGGCCTGGAAGAGGGGCAACTGGGACAGAATCCGGCGCCCCGACCGGGACTAGAACCCGGTGTGCCAGCGCCGCTAGGCGGAGGATTAGCTTAGTGAGCCGCAGCGCCAGCCTCAATTGTGTCTTTAAAAAAGATTTCTTTATTTGAAAGGCAGAGAGAATGAGAGAGAGAGACAGATCTTCTATCCACTGTTTCACTCCCCAGATGGCTGCAGCAGCCAGAGCTGAGCCAGGTCAAAGCCAGAAGCCAGGACCCAGGAGTTTCTTCTGGGTCTCCCACGTGGGTGGCAAGAGCCCAAGCATTGGGCCATCTTTTGCTGCTTATCCCAGGCCATTAGCAGAGATCTGGATAAAAAGTGGAGTAGCCAGGACACGAAGCAGTGCCCACGTGGGATGCTGGCCTCGCAGGAGGTGGCTTTCCCACGAGCCACAGTGCTGGCCTCGGATCATTTGTGCGAAGCCCTCAGCGCCGTGTCCGACACACGGCGGGTGCGTGCAGTGTGTTTTGCTCTCATCAATATCACCCAGAGCTCTACTTGGTTCCCAGCTGCAGATCTCATTCCTTTTTAAACTGTTTAAAATTAATTTGATAGAGACAGAGTTCCCACCCACTGGTTCACTCCCCTCATGCCTGCCGTAGATGGGCTGGGGCTGAAGCCGGGGTGGAAGCCAGGAATCGGGAATGCAGCCCAGGTGTCCCCCATGGTGGCAGGGACCCCACCACTTGAGCCATCGCCACTGCCTCTCAAGGTTGCGTCATGAACGCAGGAAGCTGGAGTCAGGAGCCAGACGTGGGACTTAAACCCACACGGTGATTTGGGATGCAAACGTCTTAACGCTTGGCCAAATGCTTGCCCTCTACTCCCTGTTATCCTGACCTGTGTCCTCAAACCCAAGGCTTTAACAGCCTGGTTATGTGATTCCAATTAAAGTTTATAGCTGACCAGGTATTTTTAGTTGAAAGATCAAAGATTTTTCAAAACTATGAAATATTTATAAGGACTCAAGAGTCATTATAGGGGCTGGCACTGTAGTGTAGCAGGTAAATGCAGTGCCGGCATCCCATATGGGCTCCAGTTCGAGTCCCGGCTGCTCCACTCTCCCATTACTTTTTTTTTTTTAAAGATTTATTTTATTTATTTGAAAGACAGAGTTACAGAGAGAGGTAGAGACAGAGAGAGAGGTCTTCCATCCGTTGGTTCACTCCCCAGATGGCCGCAACGGGTGGAGCTAAGCCAATCTGAAGCCAGGAGCCAGAAGCTTCTTCCAGGTCTCCCACGCGGGTGTAGGGGCCCAAGGACTTGGGCCATCTTCCACTGCTTTCCCAGCCCATAGCAGGGAGCTGGATTGGAAGTGGAGCAGCTGGGACTAGAACCAGCGCCTATGTGGTATGCCGGCACTTCAGGCCAGGGCTTTAACCCACTGCGCCACAGCACTGGCCCCTCCCATTACTCTTCACTGCGCAGATCACGTCTGGAACCCCGTGCTCACTGCTGGGCACCACTGTGACACACACCTAGGTGATGTAAGTGGCAGAAACCAGGGACATTTGGTCTGATGGGGACATAAGGGGCCACCGCCTGCAGTGCTGGCATCCCACATGGGCGCCAGCTGCTCCATTTCCCATCCAGCTCTCTGCTGCGGCCTGGGAAAGCAATGGAGGGTGGCCCAAGTCCTTGGGCCCCTGCACCAGCATGGGAGACCTGGAAGAAGTTTCTGGCTCCTGGCTTCAGATGGGCTCAGCTCCAGCCATTGTTGCCATTTGGGGAGTGAACCAGCAGATGGAAGACCTCTCTCTCTCTCTCTCTGCCTCTCTGTAACTCTGCTTTTCAAACAAATAAATAAATCTTTAAAAATATTTTAAAATAAATAAAATTATTAAATTAAAAGAAAGAATGTATCTTATGGAGTCTGGTGTTTTGGTGCAGCAGGTTAAGCTGCAGTAGCAACTACAGCATCCCACATGGGCACTGATTCCAGTCCCGGCTGCTCCGCTCCGATCCAGCTCCCTGCTAATGGGCCTAGAAAAGCAGTGGAGGATGGCCCAAGTGCTTAGTCCCCTGCACCCACGTGGGAGACCCGGATGGAGGCCCCAGCTCCTGGCTTCCTCGTGGCCCAGCCTTGGCTGCTGTGGCCATTTGGGGAGTGAACAAGCAGGTCTCTCCCTGCCTCTCCCTCTCTCTCTGTAACTCTGCTGCTCAACTACATAAATCTTTTTTTTTTAATGCAAGGACTTCAGTTTTTCCACGAAAATAAACATCTTTCAGGTCCCTTTTCACAAACTCTTTGAAGTTCCCCTGTATTACGTATTCTCACTGGATCAGAGAGTAACCAGTTAATGGTCACTGAGCACCTTCGCTCTGGCTCCCCACAGCCTCATCCCTCACAAGGTGATGCAATAGGGGCAGATTTCACCACAGGAAAAGAACCCCGAAATACGGGGCTAGCAGTTCAGGTAGGGCAGCTGCTGTGCCTGGTCTCCTGCCCCGGGGAAGGGATGGGGGAGACCGTGACGCTGTAACACTCTCCAGGGAGCGCAGTGAAAGCCCTTAGGTTTTACAATCGCGGCAACTGTCTCCAAGCGGAGGGTGTGTTTTTCTTTTCTTTTCTTTTCTTTTTTTTTTTTTTTAAAGATTGATTTATTTATTTAAAGGTCAGAATTACACAGAGAGAGGAGAGGCAGAGAGAGAGGTCTTCCATCCACTGGCTCACTCCCCAATAGCCACAGCTAAGCCTATCTGAAGCCAGGAGCTTCCTCTGGGTCTCCCACTTGGTTTCAAGGGCCCAAGGATTTGGGCCATCGTCTACTGCTTTCTCAGGCCACAGCAGAGAGCTGGATCGGAAGTGGAGCAGCTGGGACTAGAACTGGCGCCCATATGGGATGCCGGCACTGCAGGCAGCGGCTTTACCCACTACGCCACAGCACCAAACCCAGTAAGTGTGTTTTTAAGTTTTGTTTCCTCTAGGATGGAAGCAAATGGCTCCAGAGAAGGCGCGTAAGTGTCTAAATCTCTCTGGAGCACTCAGTCTCTCTCATTTCCCTTTGCTATTGCATCGCGGTCCCACGACTGTAGAAAAGTGAGAACAGGGGCCGGCGCCGAGGCTCACTTGGTTAATCTTCCGCATGCTACGCCGGCATCCCATATGGGCACTGAGTTCTAGTCCCAGTTGCTCCTCTTCCACTCAGCTCTCTCCTGTGGCTCAGGAGGGCAGTGGAGGATGGCCCAAGTGCTTGGGCCTCTGTACCCACATAGGAGACCAGGAGGAAGCACCTGGCTCCTGGCTTCAGATCGGTGCAGCACAGGCTGTAGCGGCCACTTGGGGAGTGAACCAAAGAAAGGAAGACTTTTCTGTCTGTCTCTCTCTCACTGTCTATAACCTGTCAAAAAAAAAAAAAAAAAAGTGAGAACATCCACAGGGAACTGATTATTGTGTATCAGGGGAGGCACTCTCTAGGGTTCCCTCTACTTCCCGGAACTTCCCACACACCTCCTTCCAGATCCCTCAAGGACTGGGGTCGTGTTGTAGATTCCCCAGCCCCCAGCACTCAGCACCACGCCTGAGACACAGCGGGCCATCCAGGAATCTTTTCTGAATGAATTCAACATGTTTCAGGGAAAATCTACCAGTGAAAAGTCTTATGTTGTGACGAGCCTTCATTCTTGAATTCTCTGCGAAAGCATTTCTCAGGTTGAAGGCCCTGAAACTCCACGGGTACCTGTTGGCAGAGGCGTCCATAGCACTGGAATCATTCTACTCAGGTTCGGTTATAAGGTGGCTGTCCACAGAGGGGCAGTAAAGTGTAGTGTTTAAAATTCAGGTCTTGATTGTAATCCCGTCGCCTGTTCTTAATGTCTTAAGAATATCATAAGGCCGGCGCCGCGGCTCACTAGGCTATTCCTCCACCTTGCAGCACCGGCACACCGGGTTCTAGTCCCGGTCAGGGCACTGGATTCTGTCTGGTTTGCCCCTCTTCCAGGCCAGCTCTCTGCTGTGGCCAGGGAGTGCAGTGGAGGATGGCCCAGGTGCTTGGGCCCTGCACCCCATGGGAGACCAGGAGGAGCACCTGGCTCCTGCCATCGGATCAGCGCGGTGCGCCGGCCGCAGCGTGCCGGCCGTGGCAGCCATTGGAGGGTGAACCAATGGCAAAGGAAGACCTTTCTCTCTGTCTCTCTCTCTCACTGTCCACTCTGCCTGTCAAAAAATAAATAAATAAAGAAATAAAGAATATCATCAAGATGACACAACATTTAAATTTTTTATGGAGAAACTGTGGACTCCCTGAAGGATTTTAAAAAGTGGGCAAACGGTGCGAGTATTGCCGGTTACTAACCGACACGATCTGGCTAGCTGTGCTCTGTATGTTGAATAGGAAAACAGCATTTGCCACATGGGATATTTTTTTAGATGTAGACATATTTTCAGTCTTTTATGACTTTTGAGTTTTGCATGGTATTTAAAAATATTTTCCTCATTCTGAAATGTTAGTACATTGCCCCGTGTTTTCTTCTAGTATTTTTGTGATGCTGTTCATATTTAATCTTTGGATCCATGTGGTACATATTTTGGTATAAGGAGTGAAATACGGCCCTACTTTTATTTTCCATCCAGATGGGGTTCCAACTTCGCTGAGTTCACTTTCCCGCTGACTTGAAATGCCACCTTCATCATAGTCAGAATTTTTGCATGATATGAAAGACTAAGCTTTTCTGGTCCTCATTTGAATAGAAAGGCTTTCGTGCGCACTTCGTAACTCCCTGAGGGCTGCTGCTTTAACACTGGCAGGGTTGCACACAGCCATCGAGAGGGCAGCGACCCGCCATATATAAAGTTGCATGTAACGTCAGTGTGAACCCGCTGCTCCCACGGAGACGACGCAGCGAGCAGATTTCCATCCTCGCCCCGTGGATCTGTCAGCACCGAGCTCACTTCAGTTTCCCTCGCTAGCGCACGGCGCAGAACCCTCAAATATTATGAACACTTCTCCTCCCCAGCTGTCACTACACCGAGCCACATATGGTGCAGCTCCCTACACCATCTCGCTGCGCTCTTGGCAGCTCCTCTGCTCGCCGCATCCAGCCCCGCAGCTGCTGGGCCTGCGGAAGGGGGCCCGAGCAGAGCCGGCCCTCCCGCGGGGCGCTCCCTTCACGGACCGAGGACAGGCTCTCCGGTGGGCTCCGGCGGACAGTCCCCTGCGGTGGGAGGGGGCTACAACGCCGACAGCCTCAAGGGCGTCCTGCCACTTAAAAACTTCCAGTCAGGAGGAAACACTCCATCCTGAGTGGACAGCGTCGGCCCCAGAGAGGGAAACCGGGGACTCCGAGGCGGTGGGGACGGGCCCCGAACCAGCGTCGTGAAAGGTGGAAAAAAACCGCGAATCCAGCCTTGGCGGGGAGGAAAGGCGGCCCCGCGGGTCTCCGGCCTCCGGCAGCCACTTCCGCCCCTCCCCTCCCCGAGGGCGGCCAGCCCAGCGCCCCTCCGACGTCTCCCCCAGCCCCAGGGCCGCCCCAGCTCTCTCCTCGCCCCGAGACCCTCCTCCTCCCCAGCACACTTCCCGCGCGGCGCCCCGCGGCCCCCGCTGCTGGCCACCCCGCGCCAGGTCCGGTGGCTCCCTGCCCCTCGGCCGCAGCTCCGCCCCCTTGCTCTGCCCGCTCCCCACGGCCCGCCCCTCGGCCGGGCCCCGCCCCTCGCCCTGCGCCACGCCCCCTCGCCCTGCGCCGCTTTCCACGGCCCGCCCCTCGGCCGGGCCCCGCCCCTCGGCCCCGCCCCTCGCTCTGCGCCACGCCCCCTCGCCCTGCGCCGCTTTCCACGGCCGCCCTTTGACTTCGCCCCGCCCTTCGGCCCTCGCCCGCCCCCTCCCTCTGCGCCCGTTTCCTCGCCCCGCCCTTCGGCCCGGCCCCGCCCCCTCTGCGCCCCGCCCCGCGGCCCGAGTCCCGTTTTGGCGCCAAACCTCAGCGTTCTGGGTCGGCGTTAGAATCCTGTCAGCTGAGGGCCGGAAAGCCTGAGTGGGGGGCGTAAGAGATTCGCTTCGACAGTCCGGGGCCACCGTGGGTCTGAGCGGAGCGGGTGGCCGAAAGGGAGAGGCCGTGAGGCTCTGAGGGGCCTCCGCGTTGGGAGAGCGCGCCGAGAGCTGGTGTCGCTGGTGTCGCGTGGGTCGCGTGGGTCGCGGGGCCGGGGCCGGAGACCCGCGTTCCGTGCGCGGCCCGGAAGGCATCTCGGATCTCAGCCGTTTCCCGCCTCCGTATTTGAGTCGCGTGGAACCCTGGCGGTCTCGCCCCGTGACGGGAGCATCGGGGGTCGGGGGACGCCCCGGGGAGAGGAGGGTCCCCGCCGCCCCGCCACGCCCCACGGCCCGGCGCTAGGTCGGTTCCTTGAGAAGCACCGGGACGGCCTTTCCGTCTGGTGCGGGCAGGTGCGTGGAGTGATTTTCCCTCCACGAGGTCCGCTGATGTGGAATTGGAGGGAATCCCACCCATAGCCGAGGGACGGGGTTCCAGAAGTTTCTATGGAACCCGCTGTTCCCAGGCACTGCGTGGTGGCTGCTGCACCTCTCTGCCTTGACGCGCCCCCTTTGTCCAGCTTCACCCCGACTTTGGTGTTAAGTGAGGAAATATAATAGACCAGAAAGAATGGGCGTTTGCGCCATATTTTATTCTAATGGACACAGTTATGTCTTGTAGCTTCCTAAGATTTAAAAAAAAAAAAACTACCGTGTTAAATCAAAGACTCTTTAACTTAAAAAAAAAAAGATTTATTTATTTATTTATTTGAAAGAGTTACAGAGAGAGGCAGAGACAGAGAGAGGTCTTCCATCCACTGGTTCATTCCCCAGATGGCTGCAACGGCTGGAGCTGAGCCGATCCGAACTCAGGAGCCAAGCCCTTCTTCCAGGTCTCCCAGGTGGGTGCAGGGGCCCAAGCACTTGGGCCATCTTCCACTGCTTTCCCAGACCACAGCAGAGAGCTGGATCGGAAGTGGAGCAACCGGGACTCAAACTGGTGCCCATATGGGATGCCGGCACTGCAGGTGGTGGCATTACCAGCTACGGCATAGTGCTGACCCCTAATCTATTTAACTTTTATGGGCTCTAATGTAACACTGGGTATCCATATTTTTTAAAAAAATATTTTTGAGGGTCCATCACCTTGGTGCAGTGGTCTAAGCCTCTGCCTGTGGTGCCTGCATTCCAAATGAGAGTTGGTTCTAGTCCCGGCTGCTCCTCTTCCGATCCAGCTCCCTGCTATGGCCTGGGAAAGCAGTGGAGGATGGCCCAAGTCCTTGGGCCCCTGCACCTGTGTGGGAGACCTGGAGGATGCTCCTAACTCCTGGCTCCGGATAGGCCCAGCTCCAGCCATTACGGGCACATGGGGAGTGAACCTGCGGATGGAAGAACTTTGTCTCTCCCTTTAACTCTACCTCTGAAATAAATAAATATAAAATCTTTAAAAAAATTTTTTAAGTTTCACTTTATCTGAAAGGCCAAGAGAAACAAAAAGAGAGCTTCCATTCACTGGTTCATTTCCCAAATGCCTGCAACAGCCAGGGCTGGGCCAGGCCAAACTGAAGTGTCAGGAACCCAATCAGGGTCTCCCATGTTGAGTGGCAGGGACCCAAGTACTTGAGCTTCTCAGGGTGTGTATTAGCAGGAAGCCAGAATTGGAGGTGGAGGAGCCTGGACTTGAACCAGGCATTTCCATGTGGGATGCAAGTGTCCTGAGTGGTGTTTTAACCGCTGTACCAAATGCTTGCCATAACTACCATACTTTTAAATCTAAAAAAGAAATCATGACACTAGTAAGAACGAAGAAACAAAGTAGTAGTATTCTGTGAAAAACAGCTAAGAGCACCCATTCATAAGGAGCAGCAGGAAGGAAGGCATTTATCATATATGAGAAAGATACAATCTATTGAAGTTAAGTTTGAGGAAATGACAATATCGAGATTCTTAGAGTGTTGTTAAAAATAAACACAAATTTAATAGCAATGTACAGTTCTAACAAACATTCTAAGCCAAAGGCAAGGATGTTATACAGTCATGATTAACTCTGCAGTCTGAAATCAGATTAAAAAAAAAAAAAAAAGTATGGGCCCAATGCTGTGGCATAGCAAGTTAAGCCACAGCCCCCATATGGACTCCATCCAGAAGAAGTTCCTGGCTCCTGACTTCTGTCTGGCCCAGCTTTGGCTGTTGGGGCCATTTGGGAAGTGAATCAGCAGGTGGAAGATCTCTGTGTGTGTCTCTCTCTAGCTGTGTCTTTCAAATAAAATAAATAAATCTTTTTTTTTTTTTTAAAGTGAGCAGTGTTGAAGAAAAAAGAGAAGAAACAAAATAAACCTCATCCCCACCGCCCCTCGCATCCCACCCACAACAGAAATAATGCCCCGTGCCCAGCAGGAAGAAAATAGGCCAGCCCGGCCTTTCCAAACAATGTTGTGCTTACTGTGCTTCTCTGCTCCTTGGTGACTTTGAAATAAAATCAAAGCAGCCTCTGGGCAAAGGATTTTTTACTGTCCAATCTGACTATGTAAACAATATTTCTTATTTTCCCAGAACTGACTATTTTTTAGTTGCTCACCTTTCACTATGAAGGAGGATCAGATTGTGCTGGAAGAACCAGGATTGCAAGATGACGAGGTATGATGAGAATGCAGACATCCAGTCCTTGCTCAAAAAAGTTCCTTGTCTGTTAGCTACTGTTTTTAGAAACTGAGAGCAGAAATAAGACATAGTTATATATTACAAGTATGTAACAACTTGTTTCTCAAGGGGTGCTAAGATTAGCTACTTAGCAACTGCTATGAGAGTATGTTAATGACAACTGGATGGCCATACTGGTACCTGTGTTCACTGTACCCAGTAACACACTCTTCTGCAGGAGAAGAAAGTTGAGAAGACATATTTAAAATGTCAAATATTGTCCCACTCCTTTGGGTAACAGTTTTAAAGTTTTAGGGAGGCTATGACAAAGGTAATTGTCTTCCCAGCCCTTTCAATATTGGTGCTTTGAATTATGTAACAATGTGTTTAGAAAAAAATTACTGATCTTTTATCTGTCTAGAGATGTGGAATTTGAGACAGTTTTGGAGTGACTCATAGTTTTGAATTAACTCTTTAAACATGTGAAACAGATATGCAAAATTAAAACTATTTTTTTCTATTCCATCTCCTATAGGAATCTTTGTTTCAAGACATTGACCTGTTACAGAAGCATGGAATTGTAAGTAGTTTTTCAATGCTATATTAATCATCCAATTCATTTTTCTCCGCATCAGCCTTACTGACACTTGGGGTGAGGGTGGGGCGCTGTCCTGTTCATTCCAGGCATTTAGCTATATTCCTGGCCTCTATTCACCATATGCCAGTAGTACCCTTCCAGGTGTGACAACAAAAAATGTCTACAGGCATTGTCAAGTGTAACTTAGAGGGCAAAATTGCAAGTGTTCAGAAGTCCCTCCGCACCCATTCCCTAGCTCCTTATATGTACTGTTTTCATGAACAGAAAATGTAGTTCTTGGGGCCAGCTTTGAGATACCTCAGGTTAAGCTGCTGCCTGTGATGCTGGCATCCCATATGGGTGCCGGTTTGAGTCCCGGCTGCTCCACTTCAAATCCAGTTCCCTGCTAGTGTGCCTGGGAAAGCAGCGGAGGGTGTCCCAAGGGCTTAGGTCCCTGCCACCCACATGCGAGACTTGAATGGAGTTCCAGGCTCCTGGCTCGGCCTGTTGCAGCTGCTTGGGGAGTGAAGCAGCAGATGGAAGATTCTCTGTCTCTCCCTCTATCTCTGTAACTCTGCCTTTCAGATAAATAAAACTTAAAAGGAAAATGTAATCCTGTGTGCCAGGTGACTGAATAAATGATGTTGGACTTTGAGTAGCCAACTAGATGGATTTCAACTGTAATCAAGTAGTAGTAAAACTGTTGACATTATCTTTTGAAGCCCTCATATTTAATCTCTTTCAGTTGATTTTAGAAAATAGAAACAAGAGAAAATCCTGGTCCTCTGGTGATGTAGTTATTTGCATTCTCCAGGGGCAGATGAAAAAAATTTTACAAGAACATGTTGGAAATGAAATACTGTAGAAGAAAGGAGCTGAACTGAGGGGGTGAAATGTGTGATAAATTTGTTAGCTTTTCCACCAACAGACTTTTATTTTGAATTCCTCGTTACATTGCCATGGACTCAGTAACATTCTTGGGAAATCAGGGCACAGCCAGAACATTTGGCAACCTGCTGGGTATGTTCGACTTAGATATTTCCAGAACATTTGGCTACGTGGTGGGCGGATTCCACCTGGTTGCTTGTATAAAATTGGCATCCTGATGAGGGAGGTGGACACAAAAGCGCATGACATAGTATGGGAGCCTTTCAGCTTGGCGTTTTATCAATCTGCTGTGCCCATTCTTTTATTTGCAGAACGTGGCTGACATTAAGAAACTAAAGTCAGTGGGAATCTGTACCATCAAAGGGATACAAATGACAACAAGAAGAGCCCTATCCAATGTCAAAGGGCTTTCTGAAGCCAAAGTGGACAAAATTAAAGAGGCAGCCAACAAACTGATTGTAAGCAAAATCCATTCTTTGCCACTTTAGAATGACCCTGTGAGTCTTCATAGCCTTCCTCAAGAGAACACCAGGAACTGCTGTCGGAACTCTGAGTCCCTGTAGCTCACGACATAGTCTCCCCATGTGAACTTTTTCTCACTTCAGTTTCAAAGCAATAGCAATTCATTTCTGAAAGATAGAGGTGGAGGTTAAGAGACCTAGAACATTAACGAAGGTAATTGTTTTAACTGAAGCTTTTCTTTTGGTCTCCTTCTAAATTATGTCTCTGGCTTCTTTTTCTTTGCCTTTCCTTCTCCTTTTCAACTTGTTTGTTTCTACCTTCCTTATCCTTATGGCCTCCTCAAATATTATACCAGGAATATGCTCCGTGAGGCTGCAGAGCTAAAGTAACCCCTGTCTCCTAGCTGGGCCCATGAACGGTGAGGGGCCCTGCAGCTCTAGGCTGACAGACAGAAACACACATGCCTTTGACCAGGCTCCTGTGTAGAGCTTTGGGAGACCACTAAAGTACCAGCTCTGGCAGTAAAAAGCACAGGACGGAAGTCTGCAAGCCTCCTCCTTTGCAGAAGAACAAACCTCTCCATTTCTCCAAGTCTGTGTGAGGATCCCATTAGCAAGTCTAAGAGCCACTTTCATTGACAACCATTTGGTTTCCTTCTTCAGAGACAATCAAGACAGAGTGATACAGGTGGAGGTAGTTCTGAACTGGGAGAGTACCGAAATGAGCTACCCTGAATCAGGCTCAGTGGCTGTAGCTGAGTGTACTCACAGGTCAATTCCACAGCTGCTAGGGTGGCTGCGGAATCCCTGGAGCAGCACCCAGAGTTAGGGAAACCGCTACTTTATAGCTCCTATAAAGGTTTAAAACTAAACCTGGTTTTCAAAGAAAAGACTCCCCCTCCTTTTTAAGCACCATTTAAACACCCAGAGTCTTATCCTCCCTTATCTAAAGCTGTTTATTCTTAAGGAAAGAGAAAGAGATTGACAGAGAGAAAGAATGAGAGAAAGAAAGCTGGTTTCATTGGACAGTGGTTTTAAACATTGGTGTATTTCAGAATCAAAGAGAGAGAAAAGAAAGCAAGCAAGCCAGCCAACAGATGGTCACTGAAGTAGGATAGGGCCTGGGCTTGCTGCCACCCCCACTCCCAAATCCTCCAGAGTTTGAGAGCCACTGTGATGCTGTCAAACAACACACACTGCAGACCCAAGCAGGGCCCATTTTCACTAGATTCTCCACTGCATCAGCTGTAGCTCAGTAATTCAGCGAATAAGTAGTCTATCATGTGAAACTTTGTCACGTGAACAGTGAACACTGGAATTTCTGTGCCCCTTGAAATTTCTACAGTTAGAAATAAAAGATGGTGTTAAACAAAATCAGCTGAATCCTTCAGTAAAATGTTCTGATCAATGGTGTAAATATCTTTAATCTTGACAGCTATCCTATTTAAGAAATACTATTGTATCTCTATTTAACCCAAAAGAAGAAGCTGAAATACAATATTAAGTAGTTTAACTCCACATCACACAGCTAATAAGTATTAGAAATATATTATATTATTTTATATAATATAATATAATATTATATTATATTATATATTAGAGCAATAGGATGGTTCCAAAGCATGTGTTCCTAACCACGACCCTGCTATACTGCCTTCAAAGACGGATGAAGGTGGGTTGTTGGCAAAGGAGTTAAGATGCTGCTTGTGGGAACAGTGTTGTGGTGTAGCAGCTTTAGATACCTCATATGATGCCGTCATCCCATATCCAGGTACCAGAGTCCTGGCTATGGGACTAAAGAGCCTGGAAAGGCAGTGGATGTTCTACTTATGTGGCAGACCCAAATGGTGTTCCTGGCTCCTGGCTTCAGCCTAGTCCAGCCCCAGCCATTGAGGCCATTTGGGGAGTGAACCAGCAGATGGAAGATCTCTATCCCCTACCCCCATTTTTTTTTTAAATGCTGCTTGGTACACCTGCATCTGTATCGGAGTGCCTGGGTTCAAGTCCCAGCTCTACTCCCAGTTCCAGCTTCTTGCTATTGCAGACCCTGGTAGGCAGCAGGTGATGGCTCAAGTGATTGAGTCCCTGCCATCCACATGAGAGACCTGGTGTTGTGAGCATTTGAGGAATGAACCAGCAGAAGAGAGATGTCCGTCTGTTTCTCTCTGTATCTCTGCTTCTCAAATAAAAAAATTCAAATTAATAAAAAAAAGACAAATGAACCGTACTCATATTGACAATTGAGGATATAGTTTTTGTCAGTCTCTGAAAGTAAAACCATCATCTTACACATTTTTTGTACTTTCCTTTCTATGTTTCTGTAGGAACCAGGATTCTTGACTGCATTTGAGTATAGTGAAAAGAGGAAGATGGTTTTCCATATCACCACTGGGAGCCAGGAGTTTGAGTGTGTATCTCACATTTTTTTTATAACCATCAAGCAGTTTTTGGAATACCATGTTCCTTTTCCTGTAACTGGTTGTTATTTCTACTATAAGTACTAGAAATAGCTTCTTCTTTCAAAGTAGTTTAGTTTTTTCTTTTCTTTTCTTTTTTTTTTTTGAAAATGCAAACTGAAGCAAATTCCAGACTGTAGGAATGGGATTAGATTACTTATAAGAAATTCAGGTCCAAAACACAAATAGCTCCTGAATCAGCCTGTAATAATCTACAGACCACTTTAAGAAATCAGTTTAATTTTTCACTCTCGTTCCTTCTCCCTTGATGGGGGTCATTTCTTTTTACTTTTAGGTTTCATTTAAAGAATAGTTATTAGATTGAATGCTTTAAAAAGCAATGATCCAATGTTTGTTTTTTAGCAGCAGTTTTTTTTTTGTTTTTTTGTTTTTTTACAGGTAGAGTGGACAGTGAGAGAGAGAGACAGGTCTTCCTTTTTACCATTGTTTCACCCTCCAATGGCCACTGTGGCTGGCGCGCTTCAGCCGGCACACCACGCTGATCCGAAGCCAGGAGCCAGGTGCTTCTCCTGGTCTCCCATGCGGGTGCAGGCCCACGCACTTGGGCCATCCTCCACTGCCCTCCTGGGCCACAGCAGAGAGCTGGACTGGAAAAGGGGCAACCAGGACAGAATCCAGTGTCCTGACCGGGACTAGAACCCGGTGTGCTGGTGCCGCAAGGCGGAGGATTAGCCTATTGAGCCACAGCGCCGGCCCAGCAGCAGTTTTAACATTCCTTTTCATTTACTATCATATTATTTCTAAGACATAGTCATCATCTTCCTAATGCAAATTGACTAGAATCTGGGTTTCTTTTTTCCTTACTAATTGCCAAGATCAATTAAAACAAAATCAATCTCCACAAAGTATTCCTCAAAACCCTGGCCTCCAAGAAAAAAGGATTTCATAGTCAGATATGCCTGTGGGTCAGATCAGACTTCACAGGTCTAAAACCAAACTTCTGATCTTTGCCCTAAATCTGCTCCTCCTAGAGGTCCCTCAACTCAGATCTGACTCCTTCCCAGTCCTCAGATGTAAAACTGCGGCGTCATTTGTGGCATCTTTCTTTCCCCTCACACCCTAACTATAATCCATTTACAATTCCTATTTGCTCTTTCAAAATGCAGCACACAGATTACAAGGAAATACAAGGGATGGAGTAAAAAAGAAGATACATAGATTAAAAGAAAGTTAAGATATCATGTAATCATAATGTATAGATTTTATATGGATTCTGATTCAAACATCCTACAAAAAGTAACACATATGACACAGTTGGGAAACTGAATACTTAGTAGATAGTTGGTTTGAGGAATTACTGATTTTTAGGTATGGTAGTTATAGTGTGATTATGTTAAAAATGAGAGCTCTGGAGTGGTCATTTGACCTAGCAGTTAAGAAGCTGGTCAGGAGTGCCTTGATGTAATACCTGGCTCTGCTCCTGATTGTAGCTTCCTGCTAATGCAGACTGTGGAAGGCACAGTTATGGCTCAAGTGATTTGGTTCCTGCCACTCATATTGGAGTCCTGGGCTGAGATCCTGTTCCTGGCTTTGGCCCCAGTTGGTACCATGTAGGTATTTGAGAAGTGAACCAGTAGATGGAACTTTCTCTCTCACTCTCTCAAATAAAAATTAAAATAAGAGTACTTGTCTTTTAGGCATACATACTAAAATATTTAGGATGAAATGAGATGTTATCTCATATATACTTAAAATAGTATAGGAAGGGATGGAAATGACTGGAGGTTTATATGAAAAAAGATTGACCCTGAGTTGATAGTTGCAACCAAGTGATGGGTACATGATGGTTCATTATACTGGTTTTGTCTATGTTTGATATTTATTATTCACTTCTTAATGAGGTCTACTCTGACCACTTTACTTGAAATTATAAACTTCACACCTTCATCTGCTGTATTTCTTATATCTTTTTCTAGTCTTATTTTTATTGATGCCATTTAATAACATCTGACACACCACACATTTTGCTTATTTACATTTATTGGCTGATCTCCCAGTAGAATGAAAGCTCCATGGGTGAAAGATTTCTGTCTTTTATTCTTTGCCAAGTACACAAAACAGTCTCTGGCACACATCAGGTAATCAGTGTTTGTTGAGTGAATGAATAAACAAGTACTGAGTGGAAGAAGTCTGGGAAATACAGTCTCCTCTGTATTCTTCATGCTGGCTGAGTAAAGGCTCTAAAGTCCTGGAGTGAAAAATACCTGTGTGACTCAGCGTGCTCTCAGACTTCTAAAATCACAGAACCTTTTTTTTTTTTTTTTCAAGTAACAACTAAGGGAGAATTATTGGGACATCTCAAAGTAAAATTTTCAAAATCAGCTGGATCAACAAAACACTTGATCAAATGACAACTTGATATTCTCCAATTGTTCTACTACATGGTAGCTTAAGAACCATTGAAGGGCCAGTGCTGTGGTATAGTGGGTAAAGCTGTCACCTGTGGCGCCAGCATCCTATATGGGCATCGGTTCAAGTCCCAGCTGCTCCACTTCCCATCCAGCTACCTGCTAATGTGCCTGGGAAAAGCAGCGGAAGATGACAAAAGTGTTTGGGCCCCTGCACACATGTGGGAGACTAGAAGAAGCTCCTGGCTCCTAGCTTCAGAGCAGCCTAGCTCCACCAGCTACGATCATTTGGGGAGTGAACCAGCAAATGGAAGATCTCTGTCTTTCCCTCTCTCTGTAATTCTGTCTTACAAGTAAATAAATAAATCTTAAAAAAAAAAAAAAAACCTATCAGGCTAAAAAACTGATTACTATCATGGTAAGTTTTCTTTTTTGTTGTTTTTAAAGATTTATTTATTTATTTGAAAGATAGAGAGAGAGAGGTCTTCCATCCACTGGTTCACTCCCCAAATGGTTGCAACAGCCAGAGCTGAGCTGATCCGAAGCCAGGAGACAGGAACTTCCAGTTTCTCACACAGGTGCAGGGGCCCAAGGACTTGGGCCATCTTCCACTGCTTTCCCAGGCCATGGCAGAGAGTGGAGTCGGAAGTGGAGCAGCTGGGTCTCGAACTGGCGCCCATATGTGATGCCAACTCTGCAGGCAGCGGCTTTACCTGCTACACCACAGCGCCGGCCCCCATTGTAAATTTTCTAGTGTCGTTGATGCAGATACAGAAAAGATCACTCAAAAGTTGGGTTTTTAAAATTACTATTTGATTAATTAAAATGTTATACATTTTTCTCTTAAGCTTTAAGTCCATTTATAAATCTACCAGTCTTTAATTGGACTTTTATAATTTGGTTAACTAGACTCCTTTAAACATTTTAAATCACACTTATACATTAAGAATATTTTATTTTGTTAGCCTGAAAAGAAACTCAGACCAGCTCTCTAGAATAAACAAATACATTTGGAATTACAGAGTACACAAGCTATGCTGGGCCATAAGGTGTAGCCAGAGCCTCAGAGGAAAGGGGACTTTTTTTAAAAGATAAAAAGTCCCTGTGAGCTGCTGGAAAACAGGGTTACAAAGACCAAAGGTTACAGGAGTTCGTTACAGGCACTGGTGTTAGCTGATTGGCTGAGACAACCATCCTCTAGGCGAGTGTTCTTGTGCAAGCGGCTTATCTGGAATACTGCATCTTGGTGAAGTTCTTGAGCTAAATCGATACATCGTTACCAGTCTACCTGCAGGAATGCCTCATGATAAGCCTTGCAGGAGGACTTCTTTCTCTCTTTTTTTTTTTTTATTTAAAGCTTTATTTATTTACTTGAGAGGCACAGTTACAGAGAGGGAGAGACAGAGAGAAAGATCTTCCATCCACTGGTTCAGTCCCAAATGGCCACAACGGGCTGAGCTGGGCCGATCTGAAGCCAGGAACTGTTGCCAGGTCTCCTGTGCAAGTGCAGGGGCCCAAGCACTTCTGCTGCTTTCCCAGACCATTAGCAGAGAGCGGGATCAGAAGTGGAGCAGCCAGGACTAGAACCAGCGCCTGTGTGGGATGTGGACGCCGCAGGTGGATGCTTAACCTGCTACGCCACAGCACTGGCCCCGGGCCTGCTTATTCATGACCTCCTCTGATTCTGTTTTGTTAGAGTTTAGCATAAGTGACTCTATTTTAGCACCAGCAATTTTCACAATTTCCTTTACAAATCTTATTTGTCTAACTAGTAACAAGTAAAATCTTCCCAAATATCTAAATGTCTTTAGTAAATCTAGAAGTACAGTGAGTTTTAGGTACTCGTACTTGTCGAAATACTATTTATAAACATATCATTTAACCTATCAGAGGCTAACTATTATTATAAGAAGACAAAATGTGCTTAAATTATGAATGTCCTTGGGGCTGGCATTGTGGCATAGCAACTGGGGCTGTCGCTAAGGACACCAGCATCCCGTGTGGGTGCTGGTTCATGTCCTGGCTGCTCTACTTCCTATCCAGCCCAAGTATTTGGTGCCCTGCCACCCATGTGAAAGAAACAGATGAAGCTCCTGGCTTCTGGTTTTGGCCTGACCCAGCTCCAGCTGTTGAGGCCATTTGGGGAGTGAACCAGTGGATGGAAGATCTCTCTCTGTCTGTCTGTCTGTCTCTCTCTCTCTCTCTCTGTAACTCTGCATTTCAGATAAATTAAAAAAAAAAAAGTGTTCTCAAATACCAAATATGAATCACTTATTGCCAAATTTAATATGAAAATAGTAATCTTTGGGTTTGGTATGTGTCTAGGAATATTTTATTTTTTTTTTATTTTTATTTTTTTGACAGGCAGAGTGGACAGTGAGAGAGAGAGACAGAGAGAAAGGTCTTCCTTTGCCGTTGGTTCACCCTCCAATGGCCGCCGCAGCCGGCGCACCGCGCTGATCCGATGGCAGGAGCCAGGAGCCAGGTGCTTTTCCTGGTCTCCCATGGTGTGCAGGGCCCAAGCACCTGGGCCATCCTCCACTGCACTCCCTGGCCACAGCAGAGAGCTGGCCTGGAAGAGGGGCCACCGGGACTAGAACCCGGTGTGCCGGCGCTGCAAGGCGGAGGATTAGCCTAGTGAGCCACGGTGCCGGCTGGAATATTTTAAAAATACTATTTCTACACTTCATTCTAAATTTTACCAAGTTTCACAAAATAAACAATTATGTTATTTCAAGTAATTTGGTGTACCCCTCCAGCTAAATTTTGGGTTTACCTTTTTAATTGATTGAGATTGCATAGCAATCAGAGATTTCTTCTGGGATTTGGTAGAGCTATAGCCTTTCAGGGCGATTTTTGTCAAGCTGAGAAGGGACATAAAAGCTCTTAAAATCTTGCTAGGCCTGTAAGATCTCCAAGTGCGTGCCTTCCAAATGGGGTGATCTCTCAGCCCATGTTCTTTTTTTTTTTTTTTTTTAAGATGTATTTTATTTGTTTGAAAGACACAGTTACAGAGAGAGGTAGAGACAGAGAGAGAGGTCTTCCATCCGCTGTTTCACTCCCCAGACGGATGCAACGGCCGGAGATGCGCCTATCCGAAGCCAGGAGACAGGAGCTTCTTCCTGGTCGCCCACCTGGGTGCAGGGGCCCAAGCACTTGGGCCATCTTCCACTGCTTTCCCAGGTCACAGCAGAGAGCTGGATCGGAAGAGGAGCAGCCAGTAGTAGAACCAGTGCCCACATGGGATGCTGGCGCTTCAGCGCCGGCCCCTCAACCCATGTTCTTTAGATTTAAATTATTCAGGTCAGCATCTAGAATATTCTTTTCCTCACTGAAGTCTACAGTCCTCAATAAGTTTGTGGTGGGGCCAGTGCTGTGGCGTTGCAGGTAAAGCTGCCACCTGCAATGTCGGCATCTCTTATGGGTGCTGGTTCGAGTCCCCACTGCTCCACTTCCAGTCCAGCTCTCTGCAATGACCTGGGGAAGCAGAAGACCCAAGAGCCTGGGCCCCTGCAACTGCATGGGAGATCTGGAAGAAGCTTCTGGCTCCTGGCTTTCAATCGGCCCAGCTCAGGCCTTTGCAGCCGTTTGGGGAGTGAACCAGTGGATGGAAGACCTCTCTCTCTGCCTCTACCTCTCTGTAACTCTTCCTTTCAAATAAATAAATCCTTAAAATACATTTGTGGATAACCTAACATTGTGCAATTTACATTTAAATTGCTCTCTTAAAGCATGTACATGTAAATTTGTTGGATTATCTGTATCTCTTAAAACTTTGCTCTGTGATCACATCTCAAAAGTCAGGCTTTTACAATTTTCAAAGTGTATCTACTATGTTTTAGTACAGTTAACACAATTAATATTTATTGCATTAAAGAATGAATGAATTCATGACTTAATTTTATATCTTTTCATATCATGAACATTAAACACTAAAACACTTGGTCACTAACCCGCTGTTCCATAGTGCCAGCCCCTGAACATTTTCTATTCTGACATGTGTCCATAAAGTTGGTCTGTGGAGCTGGTGCTGAGGCATACCAGGTAAAGCTGTTGCTTGCCTTGCCAGCATCCCATATGGGTGCCAGTTCAAGTCTTGGCTGCTCCACTTCTGATCCAGCTCTCTGCTATGGCCTGGGATAGCAGTGGAAGGTGGCCTAAGTCCTTGGGCCCCTGCACCAGGGTGGGAGACCCAGAAGAAGCTTCTGGCTCCTGGATTCAGATCGGCTCAGCTCAGGCCATTGCGGCCATTTGAAGAGTGAACCAGTAGATGAAAGACCTCTATCTCTCTCTCTCCTCCTTTCTCCCTCTCTCGCTCTGCCTCTGCCTAACTTTTCCTTTAAAATAAATAAATAAATCTTTTAAAAAATTTGGTCTGTGTAAGATATGCCAACCATGTTGAGAGAGAGAGAGAGATTTCATACACTGGTTTATCCCCCGAAATGGCTGCAATGGCCATGGCTTGGCTAGGCAAAGCCAGGAGCCAGGAGTTTCTTCCAGTTCTCCCATATGTGTGCAGGAGCCCAAGCACTTGGGCCATCTTCTACTGCTTCCCCAGGCACATTAGCCGGAAGCTGGATTAGAAGTGGAACAGCTGGGACTCAAATCAGCACTGCAGATGGCAGCTTTACCTACTATGCCAAAGATCTGGCCCCTCTAATTACATTTCTTTTTTTTTTTTTTTAAGATTTATTTATTTATTTGAAAGTCAGAGTTACATAAAGAGAGAGAAGTCTTCCATCTGCTGGTTCACTCCCCAACTGGCCTCAACAGCCGGAGCTACACTGATCTGAAGGCAGGGGCCAGGAGCTTCTTCCAGGTCTCCCACTTGGGTGCAGGAGCCCAAGGACTTGGGCCATCTTCTACTGCTTTCCCAGGTGCACTTAGTAGGGAGCTGGATCAGAAGTGGAGCAGCCGGGACTCGAACCAGCGCCCACATGGGATGCCAGCACTGCAGGCGATGGCTCTACCTGCTATGCCACAGCACTGGCCCGCTAAATTACATTTCAATCTAAAGCATAGTGAGACATAAGGACCTTATTAACCCATTTACTATTGACATGCAGAAGTAAGAGTAGGGCTTATAAGCTTTTTTTTTTCTTTTAAAGATTATTTATTTTGAAAGCAAGATTTACAGAGAGAGAGAGAGACAAAGCGAGATCTATCCACTGGTCTACTCCCCAGATGACTGCAAGGGCCTGCACTAGGCCAGGTGGAAGCCAGGAGCCAAGAGCCTAATCTGGTGTCCCACATGGGTGATGGGGGCCCGATCACTTGGGCCATTTTCTTCTGCTTTTCCCAGGTCATTATCAGGGAGCTGAATCAGAAGCAGAGCAGCTGGGACATGAACCAATGCCCGTATGGGATGCTGGCATCGCAGATGGTGGCTTTGCCCACCTACTATGCCACAGTATGGCCCCGCAAGTTGTTTTGTTGATCCACCTGCCCATTCACAGTAGATTTTGTGATCTGAACATGAGGAATGCCGTTTGTCCAACCTAGAATTACTGTTAGATAGGATACTAATGATACTAATATTTTCCCCCTTCTTGTTATCTCTGTTTTGATTCCTGTTACTAATGCTATCTTTCTATTTCCAGTAAGTTGCTAGGGGGTGGAATTGAAAGCATGGCAATCACAGAAGCTTTTGGAGGTAGGTACAACCTTAGTATTTATTGTATGAAATTATATCTACATAATTAAGGAAACAATCAATAGTGTTTGGTATCTGTTTGGGAACTTATGATACAGTCACTGTAATTGTGGAATCACTCTGGACTGCAGTGAAAATGCATACCAACACACACAGATGGGTTTCATTGGTATTTCCCATCCTTTTACCTTTGATTCCCATAGAAGAGAATAGAATTTTTCCCCTTTTAAGATAATTGAGGGGCCGGCGCTGTGGCACAGCGGGTTAATGCCCTGGCCTGAAGCACCGGCATCCCATATGGGCACCGGTTCTAGTCCTGGCTGCTCCTCTTCCAATCCAGCTCTCTGTTATAGCCTGGGAAAGCAGTAGAAGATGGATCAAGTTCTAGGGCCCCTGCACCCACGTGGGAGACCCAGAAGAAGCTCCTGGCTCTTGGATTCAGATCAGCTCAGCTCTGGCTATTGCAGCCATCTGGAGAGTGAACCAGCGGATGGAAGACCTCTCTCTGTCTCTGTCTCTGCCTCTCTCTGTAACTCTGTCTTTCAAATAAATAAAATAAATTAAAAAAAAAAAAAAAAAGAAGAAGATAATTGACGGGCCAGCGCTGTGGCACAGTGGGTTAATGCCCTGGCCTGCTTGCAGGCATGCCATATGGGCGCCAGTTCGAGACCCGGCTGCTCCACTTCCAATCCAGCTCTCTGCTGTGGCCTGGGAAAGCAGTGGAAGATGGCCCAAGTCCTCGGGCCCCTGCGCCCACGTGGGAGACCCGGAGGGGGCTTCTGGCTGCTGGCTCCTGGCTTCGGATCAGCGCAGTTTTGGCCGTTGCGGCCAACTGGGGAGTGAACCATTGGATAGAAGTCCATTCTCTCTCTCTCTCTCTCTCTCTCTCTCTCTTTCTCTCTCTCTCTCTTTCTCTGTATAACTCTGAATTTCAAATATTTAAAAAAAAAAGAGAATTGAATAATGAAGCCAATCTTATGTTTAGACAGTGCATCTTCCAGGAACATAGAGATTAACTTCTCTCTTCCCTAACTATATCCTCTATTTTTTAAAAATCAGTTTTATGCATAGCTTCATTTTATACCACATCTGACAATTCAGTCTTAGTTGTCCTTTGTCCTTAGTCATAAAAAACTAAATCTGTTTTGTCGTTATTTTTTTCTACTGAGTTGGGAAATAAATCTGATTTCTGTTATTTCTGTTGACTCTGACTTATAGGTTTACCTTCTTTATTGATAGCTGTAAGCTTGTTGCTTGATTTTTTTAATATTTTATTTGAAAGTCAGAGTGGCAGAAAGGAAGAGACAGAGATAAAAAGAGATCTTTTATCTGCTAGTTCACTCCCCAAATGCTGCAATGGCCATGGCTGGTCCAGGCCAAAGCCAGGAGCTGGGAACTGCATCTGGGTATGCCATGTGGGTAGCAGTGGCCCAAGTAGTTAGGTCATCCACTGCTCTTCCAGGCACATGAGCAGGGAGCGGTATCAGAAGTGAAGCATACAGTACCTAATCTGGCACTCTGATTCGGGAGGCGGCATCACAAGCAGTGGTTTCACTTGCTGTACCGCCACACCATCTCCTGTTGCCTGGTTTCAGTCTGTGAGCATTGAGTGGGCCTCAGTAGGTGAACAGGATTCCTCTAGAGAGAACTTGTTTCTGCGGTACTGAGTGACGCCACCTGTTTGAGGGCACCTCCACTTCCCCTGAAGATCTCGGTTCAGAGGAGGCCCAGGCTTGCTTTCTTATGACAGGAGTCTTAAACTTTAATTTATCAGGCTCTTCCTAAGGAAAATTTGGTTTAGATTATTTTTTATTCTAAAAGACAGCACTGTGGAAAAAACTGTAATATTTTATATTATTGCTATTTATTTATTTAAATATTTATTTATTGAAAGTCAGAGTTGCACAGAGATAGAAAAAAAGGCAGAGAGAGAGAGGTCTTCCATCCACTGGTTCACTCCCCAGATGACTGCAATGGCTGCAGCTACGCAGATCCAAAGCCAGGAGTCAGGAGCTTCTTCTGGGTCTCCCATGTGGGTGCAGGGGCCCAAGGACTTGGGTCATCTTCTACTGCTCTCCCAGGCCACAGCATAGAGCTGGACCGTAAATGGAGCAGCCGGGACTCGAACCAGTGCTCAAATGGGATGCCAGCACTGCAGGCAGTGGCTATGCCATCGCACCAGCCCCTATATTATTGCTATTTATACATGTGGAATCCATTTATGATAGAAGAGATATTTTATGAGTGAGATTTGATGGTTGGAAAAGAAAACAGTAATATTCTGAGGCCATTTTTATGACATGAAAATATCTGGAAAATTAACAGTATGTGGTTTTATTTTATTTTTTTTCCTGTAATTCACAGAATTTCGTACTGGGAAAACTCAGCTCTCTCATACCCTCTGCGGTAAGGATATATGACAACACCACCACCACCAAAACTCATCACAGTTACCGTTTACTAAAAGTCCCTTATGTGTCTGGTACTGCATATAATTTCATGGAGTCTGAACAGACTTGCAAGGAAACAAGCTTAGGGAGATTAAAAAAACTGCCCGTGGTCACACAGAGACCAGAGCTGGTCTTTGAATGGGGGATGCTTGAGGTGATGTGCATGTGCTGCCCATGAACACTTCATGGAGATAGACAGAAGGTTAAAGGGCATAGGAGTGTATTGGCAAGGAGAAGCATCCACTCTCTCAATTTTTCCTATTCCATCTTTTCTACAAGAATGACAAAAAAAATCTATTGAGTCTTAGAATCCTTTACTGGTTTTTTGTTTTAAGATTTATTTATTTATTTGAAAGAGTTACAGAGAGAGAGAGAGAGAGAGAGAGAGAGAGATCTTCTATCTATCTGCTGGTTCACTCCCCAAATGATTGCAGCAGCTAGGGCTGGGCCAGGCTGAAGCCAGGAACTTGAGACTGTACTGGGCTGAAGCCAGGAGTCTGGAATTCCAACTGGGTCTCCCACAGGGTGACAAAGGCCCAAATACCTGGGCCATATTCTGCTGCTTTCCCAGGCTTATTAGTAAGAAGCTGGATTGGAAGCGGAGCAGCTGGGACTCAAACCATCTCCCAAATGGGATGCCAGCATTGCAGGCAGCAGCTTAACCCACTGCGCCACAATGCCAGTCTCAGAATCTTTTACTTTCCATTGAGTAAGGTTGGCCCTAAGAGAGACTTAAAAACAAATTTTCCTAAGACAAATTTAAAAAGATCTCCTTTTACAAAAATGCACTGAATTTATTTAAGCCTAACAAAGTGCTTAAGAAAGATCATAAAATCAAAATACGTGATCCAGTGTAGGCTCTGCCATTTATAGCTGTCTGAGCCTGGGCAAGTTGCTTCACCTCTCCAGTAAGTGCCAATAAGCCTAGTGCCAAATTTAGGGCTATTTTGAAAAATAAAAGAAATAATACATGTATCTGGTGTAAACTAACTCCTTAGTATTAACTACTACTAACTAAAATATAAATGCACTTAAAGTTTTTGGCAAACACTAGTTGAAAGGTGACTTAAATGCATTATATAGCATAAATTATATTTGTGATTATTTCTTCTAGAAAATTAAGAATATTTAAATTATATCTCCATTTCTTTGGAAGAACTATCTTTCATGAATATTTCCCATTGTGAGACATACTGAAATTCTTTGTTGAATTACTACTATGCTGGCAAAATACTTATAATTTCACCACTGGTTACTAATATGAAAATATGTCATGCTGTTTAGAAATTAAAGGACAGTGATTCTTCGCTAACTTTACTAAAGAATTGCAACCAACATAAATATAGTGTTTATTTATAGATTCATTTGTACAACATTTATTCATCCTAATTAATATTAATTTTCAATTGCTCCCCAGTGACGGCTCAACTTCCAGGAGCAAGTGGCTACCCAGGAGGAAAAATTATCTTCATTGATACAGAAAATACTTTGTAACCTTTTTATTTAAATAAGTTGCTAACACAATAATCAGTGTAATCCTCATCAAAAATACCAATGGCACTTTTCATAAAACCAGAAAAATCTGAAAATTCACATGGAGGCTAAAAAGAACACAAATAACAAAATTAACCTTGAAGAAAGGAACAAAACAATATCAGATTTCAGATATAGTACAGAGGTAGTATGATATAGTAGTGTTACTTCAAAAGAGTTTGTTTGCAATGTATCTTTTTTTTATAATCATCCCATAAGCTAACCATGAGAAAAATCAAGAGGAAAACAATCTCTCAAATCACTTTCAATCTCTTAAATCACTTTCTATTTAATAAGTTTTACTTCTTTACATGGGTCTGATGTAAAACTGACATTTCAAACACATGAGAGGAAATTATAACTTACTCATTTTATTATCTTTTCTAAAAAAAGACTTATTTATTTTATTTGAAAGGTAGAGTTACAGAGAGGCAGAGGCAGAAAGAGAGAGAGAAGTCTTCCTTCTGCTGGTACACTCTCCAGATGGCCGCAATGTCCAGAGCTGTGCCTATCAGGAGCCAGGAGCTTCTGGGTCTCCCACTGGGGTGCAGGGGCCCGATCACTTGGGCCATCTTCTACTGCTTTCCCAGGCCATAGCAGAGAATTGGATCAGAAGTGGAGCTTTGGGGACTGGAACCGGCACCCATATGGGATGCTGGCACTGCAGGCAGCAGCTTTACTCACTATACCACAGCACAGGCCTCAAGAAAAAAAAATACTCATTTATTGATTTGAAAGGCAGAGTTACAGAGAGGCAGAGGCAGAGAGAGAGCGAGAAGTCTTCCATCCACTGGTTCACTCCCCAAATAGCCTCAACAGCAAGAACTGGGCTGGTTTGAAGCCAGGAGCCAGGAGCTTCTTCTGGGTCTCCCATGTGGGTGCAGGGGCCCAAGGACTTGGGCCATCTTCCACTGCTTTCCCAGGCCATAGCAGAGAGTTGGATCGGAAGTGGAGCAGCCGGAACTCGAACCGGCACCCATATGGGATGTGGCCCTGCAGGTGGCGGCTTTACCTCCTAAGAATCTCTTCTTAATGATAGGGAAGACCCACACAAGTTTTTAAGGCCATTTACAAGGCTGCATCTCTCCAGACTCATCGCTCACTCACTGTTGCCACTCTAGAAGGAAGGAGATGGGGCCAGCATTGTGGCATAGCAGGTGAAGCCTCCACTTGGGACACCAGCATCCCATATGGGAGATCTAAAGAAGCTCATGGCTCTGGCTTTGGCCCGGACCAGCCGTGGTCTTTATGGTCATTTGTGGAGTGAACCAATGGATGGAAGATTCTCTCTCTTGGTCTCCTCCTCCTCTGTAACTCTGCCTTTCAAATAAAAAATAAATAAATCTTAAAAAAAAAAAAAAAAAAAGGAAGGGAGGCTGGTGCCGTGGCTCACTAGGCTAATCCTCCACCTGTGGCACCGGTACCCCGGGTTCTAGTCCTGGTTGGGGTGCCGGGTTCTGTCCCGGTTGCTCCTCTTCCAGGCCAGCTCTCTGCTGTGGCCCAGGAAGGCAGTGGAGGATGGCCCAAGTGCTTGGGCCCTGCACCCCATGGGAGACCAGGAGAAGCACCTGGCTCCTGCTGTAGCGGCCATTTGGGGAGTGAACCAACAGAAGGAACGGAAGGAAGACCTTCCTCTCTGTCTCTCTCACTGTCTACTCTGCCTGCCAAAAAAAAAAAAGGGGGGGGGCGGGGAGATGAGTCTGTTCTAATCTGCTCCCGGTGCCTTTAAGCAGGCTTTGTTATTAAAATTTGAAGACATAATACATCAACAGTTATTTGTTTTCTTTGTTAAGGTGATTTCTTGCATCCCAAACTTTTCCCATATTTTTGTTTTACTGGAGTAAGTACTTAGGTACTTTCAGAAAAGTAATTTAAATAGCAAACTTTGAACCCTCTGAAAATCCCTTTATTTTGTTCTCACTCTTTTTAAAATATATATATATATATTTAAAATTAAAAATATATATATATATATACACACACACAAGGGCAGCACTGTGACGCAGTGGGTTAAAGCTTTGTTCTGCAGTGCCGGCATCCCATATGGGCGCCAGTTCTAGTCCCGGCTGCTCCTCTTCCAGTCCAGCTCTCTGCTATGGCCTGGGAAAGCAGTAGAAGATGGCTGGAGTCCTTGGGCCGCTGCACCCGCATGGGAGACCCAGAAAAAGTTCCTGGGTCCTGGTTTTAGATCAGCTCGCCCGTGACCTTTGTGGCCTTTTGGGGAGTGAACCAATGGATGGAAGACTTTTTTCTCTGGCTCTACCTTTCTCTGTAACTCTATCTTTCAAATAAATAAAATAAATCTTTAAAATATTCATATATATATATATATATATATATATATATATATATATTTGCATCTCCGTAAAGAGAGAGAAGAGAGACAGAGAAGGAAAGAAGGCGATATCTTCTACTTGTTCGAGAAGAGAGACAGAGAATGAGAGAAGGCAGTATCTTCTACTTGTTCACTCCCCCATTGCCTGCAACAGCCAGGAGCCTTGAACTCCATCTGTGTCACCCTCATGGGTAGTAGGGAATCAAGTACTTGAGCAGTCATCTGCTGCTCCCAAGTGCATTAGCAGGAAGCTGGATGGGAAGCCAAGACCTGATTCGAGGCACTCCCGATATAAGATGTGGGCAAGTGGCAGCCTAACAAATGGTACCACAATACCCATACCTGCTTTCACAAGCTGATCTCAAATGAACTTGAAGGTTAATTTGACTGGTCATAGGGGCATTTTCATGGGATATTTCCATCCTATTGGGTATCTCCTCCTTTTATCCCCATCTTTCTGAGTCACAGAAATCCTTTAAGGCTATCATTTAAAGGCCTGCTTTTTCTGATCTTCTCTGGTTACCTAATTTAGAAAACCTTGTCCTTCTTGACCTACTATAGAATTTTCTGTCTAAACTACTGGTGTAGGAAAACAAAGCAAAACAACCAACCAGAGAACTGTTTTAAGAAGACTGTATTGGGAAATTCCTGACCCAGGAAGTCTCTGAAGGAGACTTCTAACTCAGGGATGGAGGCTGGAACGGGCTTTAGGAAGGGGGCTCTGTTGGAGTTCAGCTAGTTTCAGAAATAGTTGATTAAGGAAGATTCTCAGGGAGGAATTGTTCTTGCAGATTAGCTGTTTGGGCAATTTGGATTTTATCAAGAAAGAGAGGACCAGTTGAGAGTTACAACATGCAAGAGGAAGTGAGAAGAATGGGAGGGGCAGAGGAACCATGGCAATGGCCACAGAAGGTTCTCATTCTTCTGCTGTCCCCATGTCTGCTGCTGGGTTTTGATACTTTCTTTTCATGTTTCTATTTTGTCTCTGTAATTATGTTTTAAACTTACCTAGGCCATAGATTGTCTTATATCCTCCAGGATGCTTTGCCTTGATAATTAGTTAATATGGTAATAAATTCTATATGGTTATCAGTCAATAAATGTAGATTAATCTGAACTTCCCTTTAGAATAAACTTGGCTTTATACCCTTGATCGCATGGTATCCAGGCTTTGTAGAAACTGATGTGAAAAACATTTTTCATTGCCTCTTCCAACTCCTGTTTTCCTTGACCTGTCCACCAAAAAAAAAAAAAAAAATCTAGTGTAAAAAAAACTTTTTAAAAATCAAGTGCTTTTGCTCCTATACCCACATGGAAGACCAAGAAGCTCCAGGCTCCTGGCTTTGGTCTAGCTCAGCCCTGGCCCTTGCAGCCACTTGGGAAGTGAACCAGCAGATGGAAGACCTCTCTGTCTCTTCCTCTCTATAGCTCTGCCTTTCAAATAAATAAGAAATAAATCTTTTAAAAAAAAGTTATTAGGGAATGGCATTGTGGCATAGCATGTAAAACCATATGGGTACCAGTTCGGGTCTTGGCTGCTCCACTTCCTATCCAGCTCCCTACTAAATACACCTGGGAAAGCAGCAGAAGATGGTCCAAGTCCTTGGGACCCTGCACCTACATGGGAGACCCAGAAGAAACTCCTGCCCCTGGTTTCTGTCAGGCCCAGCTCCAGCCATTGCAGCGTTTTGGGGAGTGAACCAGTGGATGGAAGTTCCCTCTCTCTCTCTTTCCCTCTCTCTCTGCAATTCTGCCTTTCAAATAAATAAACAAATCTTTTTAAAAAAAATTTGACAGATAGAGTTAGACAGTGAGAGAGAAAGAGAGACAGAGAGGTCTTCCTTCCATTGGTTCACTCCCCAAATGGCTGCAATGGCCGGAGCTGGGCTGATCCAATCCGAAGCCAGGACCTAGGAACTTCTTCTAGATCTCCCACATAGATGCAGGTGCCCAAGCACCTGAGCCATCTTCTGCTTTCCCAGGCCATAGCAGAGAGCTAAATCGAAAGTGTAGCTGCCAGGACTCGAAATGGCGCTCATATGGGATGCCAGCACTGCAGGTGGCAGCTTTACCCACTCTGCCACAATACCGGCCCCTAGAAAGTAGAATTTAAAATAAAGTAAAATTAGAAGAAAGTAAATTTAGAAAGAAATAAAATTAGGCCGGCGCCGCGGCTCACTAGGCTAATCCTCCGCCTAGCGGCGCCGGCACACCGGGTTCTAGTCCCGGTTGGGGCACCGGATTCTGTCCCGGTTGCCCCTCTTCCAGGCCAGCCCTCTGCTGTGGCCAGGGAGTGCAGTGGAGGATGGCCCAGGTGCTTGGGCCCTGCACCCCATGGGAGACCAGGAAAAGCACCTGGCTCCTGGCTCCTGCCATCGGATCAGCGCGGTGCGCCGGCCGCAGCGCGCTGGCCGCGGCGGCCATTGGAGGGTGAACCAACGGCAAAGGAAGACCTTTCTCTCTGTCTCTCTCTCTCACTGTCCACTCTGCCTGTCAAAAAAAAAAAAAAAAAAGAAAGAAATAAAATTAGAAGAAAGTAAAATTTTAAAAAGATGGGCCGGCACCGCGGCTCACTAGGCTAATCCTCCACCTTGCGGCGCCGGCACACCGGGTTCTAGTCCCGGTCGGGGTGGCGGATTCTGTCCCGGTTGCCCCTCTTCCAGGCCAGCTCTCTGCTGTGGCCAGGGAGTGCAGTGGAGGATGGCCCAAGTGCTTGGACCCTGCACCCCATGGGAGACCAGGAGAAGCACCTGGCTCCTGCCATCGGATCAGCGCAGTGCGCCGGCCGCAGCACGCCAGCCCCGGTGGCAATTGGAGGGTGAACCAACGGCAAAAAGGAAGACCTTTCTCTCTGTCTCTCTCTCTCCCTGTCCACTCTGCCTGTCAAAAATAAATAAATAAAAAATAAAAAAAATTTAAAAAGATGTATTTGTTTTGAAAGGCAGAGCTACAAGGAAAGGGAAAGAAAGAGTTCTTTCATCCAGGATGGACTTGGATTGATGCCCCAAGTGGTTGAACAGCCAGGGCTGAGCCAGGCCAAAGCCAGAAGCCTGGAACTCCATCTGGGTCTCCCACATGGGTGTAGGCCCCAAGGTCTTGGACCATCTTCTGCTTTCCCAGGCACATTAGCACGGAGCTGGATCACAAGTGGAGCAGTTGGTACTTGGACCAGCGCCTGTATGGAATGCTAGCTTTGAAGATGGTGGCTTAACTCACTCTACCACAATGACTGCCTCAAAGACAGTAGATTTTAAACGCTATATAAACCAAAATCCTGGGTTGATAAACCCTCTGGACGCTTGAGGTTACTGTTTTGATGCTTTAGTTCCTGCAGTTGTATTTATCATTTGTTGGCAATACATGATTAATGATATATTAAACTATTTCATACTGAACAGATGAGAAGTGTGAAGAGCGAATTATTTCACTTTAAAATGACTTGAGTTATAACTCAGTGATATATTTCTAGAATAGATCTATTTTTTATAGAACTGAGAACAAAAGAGACTCACACACCTTAGTTTCTAGCTTTTCTCTTGTAACTGACTTGCTGCATAATCTTCGGTCATGTACCTAATCTCTGGCAGTGTCCTCACTTGTAAAACGTTACATAGGCCATACCAACCAGCTTACATGCATTGTAAAATTTAATAATTTAACTTTTTTTGAATTATTATTTATTAGAGAGAGATCCCATATACTGGTTCACTCCCCAGTTACTGCAGTGAGAGCTGGGAATTCAGTCTGGGCCTACATGGACGGCAGGAGCTTTGCTGCTTGACTCACCATCACTGCCTCCTCCTAGGATCTCCATTAGTAGGAAGTTGGATTCAGGAGCTAGAGCCAGGAATCGAATCCTGGAGAAAGGTTTTGTCTTAACTGCTAGGCTAAATGCCTGCTGATAATTCAATATTTATTTTAAAATTTATTTATTTATTTATTTATTTACTTGGATGTCAGAGTGATAGACAAAACGAGAGAGTTCACTAGTTCATTCCTCAAATGCCCATTACAGCCAAGACTGGGCCAGGCTGACAGGGGCCCAGAACTCCATCCAGGTCTTCTCTCATGGGTGGCAGGAATCCAAGTACTTGGGCTATCAGATGCTGCCTCCCAGGCATGTTAGCAGGAAACTGGATCTGAAGCGGAGATGGAACTAGACCCCAGGCACTCCAACATGTGATGTGAGTGTCCCAAAGGGTGGTTTAACCCAGTGTACCACAATGCCTACCCCAAAATTTAATATTTAAATTCATTACTGCCTCATCATTTCTATGAGTGTTATCACTACCTAAGAGAATTTGAGGCATTTATGAAAAATAAAATATAATGTAGACTGTAAGTAATGATTAGCATCCTCTAGAATATCTCTGCAGGTATATTGTTTTACCATTCTTTTAATTTACTTACTTAAGGTAGGATGTTTTGTAGTTGTTGTCTAAGTTGTTCTGCAATTGACTCATTGAATCCTTAATCTTGGCTGCTGCAGTCGTCCGGATCGCCTTCGGGACATTGCTGATCGCTTCAACGTGGACCATGATGCTGTGCTGGACAACGTACTCTATGCACGTGCATATACTAGTAAGAGCCCATGCAGCTGGGCGTGTGGGTTATCATAAGGTTGGAAGCACTGATTTACTAATTGATTATACTAAATATTTTGACACTGTCCTTTTATCTTTTTATTTTAAAATAAAATTAATTCAGTCCACAAATTTTAATAGCTGGTAAGTTCTTGGATATTAAAATACCCTCAAATTATTTCTTATTCATTGTCTGTGAAAGGCAGAGTAGCATTTTTTGATAAATTGTCATATTTAATAAAGTCATAAATCATTAAGAGAATCCTTCCAGGATTCTTTTGCATGGCTCCCAAGGACATAAGTGATCTTAGCCTCTGCTTCTAGCTCTTAGAACATTTTCTCGCTGTATTTCCCACCAGGTGAACATCAGATGGAGCTACTTGATTATGTAGCTGCAAAGTTCCATGAGGAAGCTGGCATCTTCAAGCTATTGGTACAAGCTTCTAAGTATTGCTCACTCACAGAGCTCTTTAGCATATTACTGTTCTGTTGATTCCTATCCAAATTAATTTCTTCCTTCCAATTCCATAAGCTTATTTATTTTTACATCAACCCTGTGCAGATCATTGATTCAATAATGGCACTTTTTCGAGTGGATTTCAGTGGTCGTGGGGAGTTGGCTGAAAGGCAGCAAAAATTGGCCCAGATGTTGTCACGACTCCAAAAAATCTCAGAAGGTAGATTTTTAAAATAGAATGGCTCTATCAGAGTAGCATCTGTGACTGTGTTTTAGGTGTGCTTGCAGAGACGTTCAGAGTGTCAGGAGGCAATACTTCTTAAAAAAATAAAATTACCTTTATGGGAATACATATTTTTTACCAAAAAGACTGATCCTAACCTAAATAATAACAATAACTTTAAATAAGTTGACTTATATTATCAGTGAGAAAAACAGGAATGTGATCTTGTTTCTAAAATAAATCTATAGTACGATGTTCTAAATACCAAAATCTACAATGAATGTTTTATATTTGTATTTCCCTTCTCTTAGCTTCTTAATTTTTTTTTTTTTTTTGATACAGAATACAACGTGGCTGTTTTTGTGACCAATCAAATGACTGCCGATCCGGGAGCGACTATGACGTAAGCCTATTCTGCTTTTGTATTTCACGGTGGTTAATATCAAGATGTTAGAGTGTAAAATAGAAAATAATTTCAGGGAGTAGGCGTTTGGCATAGTGGTTAAGATTCTGCTTGGGACATCCATATCCTGTAAAGCAGTGCCTGGGTTCAAGTCCCAACTCTGCCCCAATTCCAACTTCCTGCTAATGTGGCCCCTGAGAGATAGCTGGTGATGGCTCAAGTGATTGGGTCCCTGCTACCCACATGGCGACCTGGATTAAGTTATTGGATTCTGGCTTGGACCTGACCCAACCCTGGCTGTGTGTGGTCATTTACAGGGTGAACCATAAGATAGGATATTTCTATCTGCCTCTCTGTCTGCCTTTCAAATTAATTAATTAGTTAACTTTTTGAATTAAAAAAATTCAAAATAATTAGCCTTGATGTGTGCACAGATATATCACACATAATTTTAGTACACATGCATATCACTTCATAATTGCAGATGTGAAGGGGCTTCAAAATTTTATGGAAAAGTTGAGTTAAAAGTTAATGTGGGCCATTGCCACGGCTCACTAGGCTAATCTTCCGCCTGCAGCGCCAGCACTCTGGGTTCTATTCCCGGTTGGGGCGCCGGATTCTGTCCCGGTTGCTCATCTTCCAGTCCAGCTCTCTGCTGTCACCCAGGAAGGCTGTGGAGGATGGCCCAAGTGCTTGGGCCCTGCACCTGGCTTCGAATCAGCGCAGCATGCCGACTGTGGCGGCCATTTTGGGGGTGAACCAACAGAAGGAAGACCTTTCTCTCTGTCTCTCTCTCTCTGTCTCTCACTGTCTAACTCAGCCTGTGAAAAAGAAAAAAAAGTTACTGTGTATTTTTGACAAGCTTTTTTGTAACACCCTTTGAACCACTTATTTGTTATCTAGAGTCCATTTTCTCTACCTCTGTAAAAAGTAAATCATTTTCAGCAGTGTTTTGAGCTCTTCTTTAATCTAAAGCTGAAGGATATTGGAGGATAATAAGAAAAGGACGCTAGGGAAATGAAATTATATTCCAAATACATCAATGCCTTCTATTGCACTGACAGGCTGTGAGCCCAAAACAAAAAAAGCAGATTTTCTACAGTGTGAACATGAGGTATCTTTATAAAGGAAGCCCAGTGAGAGGATTCTCCTGTTGGAAGAAACAGAACTTCAGTCCATACTAGGCGTACAGAATTTGTTCAAGTATTTGTGCACATGCCATAACTATTGAAGGCTCTATTTGAAAGACATCAGGGAAGAGAAAGACAAAGAGAGATAAAGTACAATAGTAAAAGAAGAAAATTCAAGGAAACATTTATGGACACTGTCAAAAGTTTTGAGCATTATGGAAGTCAATAAACCAAAAAAAAAAAAAAAAGCCTGAATTCATAATAATGTTTTTAAAAAGAATTTTTAAACAATTTTTATTTTAAAAGTTTTTTTTTTCCCAATTTGAGAGGTAAACCGAGAAAGCCCCAAGCCACAGTTCCATACCCCAAGTGCCTGCAATGGCCAGGACTGGGCTGGATCAGAACGGGGGCTGGAATTCAATCCAGGTATCTCTTGTGGGCATCAGGGACCCAACAACTCGAAATATCACCTGCTGTCTCCCATTGTCCACATTTGCAGGAAGCTGGGATTGGGAGCTGGAACCAGGAATCAAGCCTAGGCACCTCCAACATGTGTCTGGGCATGCCAATCATTGTGTTAACCAGTAGGCCAAACACCTGCCCCTAGAAAGTTTTTAACCAGAAAAAAAGTTGCAAGAGTAGTGCAATAAATGCCCATATATCCTTCACCCAGGATCATTAATTGCAACAGCTTGCCCCTTTTTTCTTCCCGCATGTATGTATATAAAATCTTTGTGTTCTCTCTTCGTCTCTCCCTCTTTCTCCATACACACACACACACACACACACACTATGTATATATATATATGTATATATTGTAGTGAACCATTTAAGAGGTGTATTTTCTCCTAAACCATTGAAAATTATTTGCAGATATCGTAACACTTTATCCCTTACTGCTTCATCGTATCTCGTTTAAGAACAAGAACATTTTCCTGTGAAACCACAGCACAATCACCACATTCAGGAAGTTCAGTATCAGCATAACAGTGCTGCCTAACACGAGAGTCTCCAGCTTTCCTGACAATGTGATTTTGTGGTGTTGAGTTTTTTATTTTGCTTTGTTTTCAAATTAGTATCAGTTACAGATTGTGCATTATATGTAGTTATCATCTCTCTCTATTCTCCTTGCATCAGAAGAGCTCCTCAACCTTTGTTAGACTTTCATGGCATTGACATTTTTGAAGAACAGACCAAATGTTTTGCAATGTCTCTCAATTTGATTTTTCCTCCTCATTATTTAAAATGTTAAACATTTTTGGCAGGAAACCTACATAAGTGATATTATGGTCTTCTCAATCTGTCATCTCAGGAGGCACATGATGGTAGTTTGTTCCATTATTAGTGTTGTTAAGTTTGATCATGTGATGAAATGGTATTCACAGAATTTCTGCATTGTCAAAGAGAATTACAAAATTTTCTTTTGTAATTAAATAAATGATTTGTGGGGCAATATTTTGAGACTGTGCAAATATCTTGTTCTGTAATACCTTTCATTCATTTATTTTAACATCCATTAAATATTCTTGGATACATAATTTATTAAATTATATCATCCTGATGTTTGCAATACAGAGTGATAATACATTGAAACCTAGGCATCCAGATAGTGGCAGATAAAATGAGTCACTGACATATATAATTAAGAGATATTTGGTATGCTGCTATAAATTATATAAATTATAATAAAATATGTCTCTCTTTATTTAAGCATTTTCTAAACTTAACCCTAATAGTATTGCTGCATCTTCTGCAGTATTATATATCTCTCACATTTCAAAACACTTTTATGAGTATTTCCTACTTTATTGGAAGAAATTTCAATGGTATTAAGTTAAAAAGATTGAGGAGGGGAAAATCAGTCATTTATTTATTCAACAAATATTTATTGAAAATATACTATGTCAAGATTCTGGGAATTCACTAGCAAATGAAAGAGACAAAAATATTGCCTTCCATTAAAAAAAATGATGTCCGTTTGGTTCAAAATTGTAAAATCTTGGTAAGTCACACATATGGTCTGGAGTATACTCCTTGAGCAAGGAAGGCCATCCTCATTTTGTGGGGTATCTTTCATATACAGGACATAAAGCACCACAAAGAGAATAATTTTAAACTGAAGAGAAATGGAAGATTTTTAAGGTGCAATTTAAAGAGAAAAAAATGACTCATTGGCTCAGAGGGAGGAAGTGGGTTGCATTCAAATAAAAGAATGCTGTTCTTCAGGTGTAGGGAGGGAACATTGAAGAGGTGAAAACTGTCACTCTAGAGTTGGAAGGCAGAAGACATCGGTAGCAATTAGGTCAAATAGGGGTTCTTTTTCTTATATTTGTAGAAAGTTTCCAAAAGAGTAAAACCGTTTTGACTAACCCCCATAAGACAATGGAAGGAGAACTAGAGAGACGTCAGAAAGCAAATAAGAAAGCAAATAATCGAAAAGAGCACTGGAACAGGGAGGAGATGCATACCGAAGTGAGCTAGGGGAGGAAGCGGAGGGAACAAAGGCTGCTGTGTTCACTGGGCGACTCCGCCTCACAACATTATCTCTTCCACCTGGCTGAGTCGTAAGGAAACAAGGTTCACTATAATTAGGACATTCTGAGGGATATTAAATGATAACAATACAAATTAAATACATGTCTTCTTGTAAAACACAAAAATTGCCACATCCAGATGAAAAAAAATCAGGACAGTTTTAAACTAAAGGATTTCAAATGCTATTAGAGAACCTCCCATAAAGAAAATATCTTTGTTTCTCAGTGTGGAGTAACTCCAAGCTGCAGCTCGCCTGGGGCCTGTCAGAGAAATACCACTATAATTGGTATGAGTCCCCAAGTGCACTGACGATAATTGAGGCTTATATCCCATGCATTCTACTTGATGGCACATCGTATTAAAAAGAAACAAAATTATAGAGGCAAGGAGTTGCCATATGATACAGCAGAGCCATAGACTCTAGATGAGACTTACAGATAGGGAGTTTAGAACTGGAATGATCTAGGCCCACAGATAAAAATCAAAGCATCAGCTTTTCAAGCACTACACTAGGGCAAATAATAAGAAAAGCGACAAATAAGATTGTGATAGTGCCTTCTATATCATTTGTGTATTTGTTTTCCTAAAAAAAAAAAGTCTTCAGGGGGCCGGCGCTGTGGTGTAGTAGGCTAAGCCTCTGATCGTGGCACTGGCATCACATGTGGGCACCAGTTCGTGTCCCGGCTGCTCCTCTTCCATCCAGCTCTCTGCTTGTGGCCTGGGAATGCAGCGGAAGATGTCCCAAGTACTTGGACCCCTGACCTCCCATGGGGACCCTGGGAGAAAGCTCCTGGCTCTGGGCTTCAGATTGATTCTGCTTCAGCCATTGTGGTGGCCATTTGGGGAGTGAACCAGCAAATGAAGACCTTTCTCTATTGTCTTTCCCTCTCTATCTGTTAACTACATTTCAAATAAATAGATAAAATCTTAAAAAGTCTTCTTAGACCACTTGCAGTCTTATAAATGTGCAATCAGTTGGTTTTTTAAGGATGTCACTGACTTGACATCACTAGCATAAATTAGAGGTAATACGGTTCGAGAAGAAACACAGAACCAGAGTCACTAATGTGGTGACCTTATGCAAGTCTTTTAAACTGTTTGACCTTCATATTCTTCCCCTCCAAAACTGAGAGCTTTTACTTCTTACTTAACATGCATCAGGTACTTTCTTTTTTTTTTTTTAAGATTTTATTTATTTATTTGAGAGGTAGAGTTACAGATAGTGAGAGGGAGAGACAGAGAGAAAGGTCTTATGTCCATTGGTTCACTCCCCAAATGGCCACAACGGCTGGAGCTGCGCCGATCCGAAGCCAGGAGCCAGGAGCTTCTTCCCGGTCTCCCATGTGGGTGCAGCGGCCCAGGGACTTGGGCCATCTTCTACTGCTTTCCCAGGTCACAGCAGAGAGCTGGATGGGAAGAAGAGAAGCAGGGACTAGAACCGGTGCCCATATGGGATGCCGGTGCCACAGGCAGAGGATTAACCTACTGCACCACGGCGTTGGCCCGCACCAGGTACTTTCATGTATCATCTCATACACTTCTCATGTGATCTGCTGCAACTCAGCCTCCTGGAGCCTGCTTGTGCTTTTTATGAAACAAATCTCAGATGTGGCTGCACCCCACCCCACAAAAAGCTCAGAATTCCATTTTCAAAATGTTGAAAAAAGTATAGGTTTTTTTTTTTTTTTTGCATATTTTGGGAGCAGACATAAAGTGTTACTTAGCAAAACTTATTAAACATAACTTTTTTAAAAGATTAATTTTTTTTGAAAGTCAGAGTTAAAGAGAAACTGAGGGAGAAAGATCTTCCATCTGCTGGTACACTCCCTAAATGGCCGCAACGGCCAGCACTGGGCCAGTCCAAAGCCTGGAGCCAGGAGCTTCATCTGGGTTTCAAATGTGGGTAGCAGGGGCCCAAGCACTAGGGTTGTCTTCTGCTTTTCCCATGCAATTAACATGGTGTTGAATTGGAAACAGAGTAACCAGGACTTGAACTGGTGGCCATATGGGATGCCAGCATTGTGGGTGGCAGCTTTACCCATTTCAACACAACACTGGCCCCAATATCATTTTTTTGAAAAGCATTCCAGGCTGGTGCTGAGGTCCAGGAGGATGAGCCTCTGTGTGCAATGCTGACATCCCATATTGGAGCACTGGTTTGTATCCCAGCTGCTCTGCTTCTGATTTAGATCCCTGATAATATGCCTGGGAAGGCAGCAGAAGTCGGCCTAAGTACTTGGGCCCTGAGACCTGGATGGACAGCCATTTGGGGAATGAGTCAGCAAATGGAAGCGCTCTCCCTTCCTCTCCCTCTGTCATTCTGCCTTTCAAATAAATAAAATACATCTTAAAAAAAAAAAAACTCTTCTCTTTCCCTAAAATTCTTACATTTGACAGTTCTCTTTGTTCCCCATCTTGCTCTCATCTCAAAAGCTCCTCCTCACTGTTGGACAGGTTCAATCAGCTTCTCTTTCCTCAATGGGTCCTTCCTCAGAAATTCCATCCGTACCCCTTACAAGTGGAAGCATCAGGAGTATCTGTTGTCCTTCAAGTTTGCCCTTGCCCAGGCCCCTAAGGCACCACACTGCAACCAGTGTTTGAAGCAGGGGTTATGATTATTCCTAAACTGTAACAGTGGAAGAAGAGGCTCAGCGAACTTAGTGCTTGCCCACAATGCAACTTACAACTGAGGGAGTCAGGATTTGAACCCAGGTATCTTTGACTTCAAAGCTGACGTTCTGTGAGTCTCACCATGCTCTCTTCCCATCCATCCCATAACTATGTTTCATCAGCACATCATCCTAAGTGGAAGTAGACAGCCCAGGCTGTTCTGGGTCTCAGCTTCAACAATGTGCCGTATGCTGTTCAACCAGAGGGAGAGAAATGAAATAACCTTTCTCTGTCCTTTTTTATGCCAAAATCCACCCACCGCTCTTCCTCCTCCTCTCTGTACTCCTCGGTCTCCTGAGAAAAGGAGGAAGGAAGAGAAGAAAATGTGAAAGAAGGGAAAATAAGAGAATAGGCTAAAGGAGGCTTGTGGGTGGTTTGATGATGCTGTTTTAACTTGGTCAGAAATAGAAGTAAATTAAAGGCCTCTAAAGCGCTGTGGAATGTGACTGCACCTTCTTGTACTTTACCCCAAGACTTGGTTATAGCTGCTGGAAGTTGGGAAGTTCAAGTAAACTTCGAAAGGGCAACTGTTTGAACAGAATCATTTAGTTTAGTGATAACAGTTATCATTTATTGGGGATCTTTTATGTGCCAAGGTTACTGTAAGGGTAGAGCTATGTACATAAATGACTAGATGTGGTTCCTGGCATATAGTAGACTCCCAAAGAGCTATATTAAAAGCATCTTGAATCCTCACATCAGGCCTAAAAGGTAAGGTCTTTTTGTTTCCACTTTGCAGTGAAAGAAACTGAGGTTCAGAAATGTAAGTGTCTAATCCAAGGAAATGTAGGTAATAAGCCTTTGAGTCAGGATTAGGAAAGCAGAGGAATAATAATAATTGTAGCCCTGGGATAATGCCTTAGGTGAATTATTTCATTTTATTCTCACAATTATCCTACCAGACAAGCACAGTTACTGTCGTCCATCTACAATGAACAAACAGAAACTTGGGATGTTCAAACAATTTTCCTGACATCACACAGCTGACAAGCCAGAATTTGAACCCAAGTCTAATTCCAGAGCTCACACACCATACAGTGTATCAGAGCTGTTTCTGCTTGGGGAAAGCCTGGCATGCTGTCATCCAAAAGGCTTTGCAGGGGTGTGCCCATTACACTAGTGACTTGACCACAGCTCAGGACCCTCAGCCTGCAGGCAAAGATTTGATTTGGTCAGCCTTTTGAGAACCAGTCCATCTCTCAGAGGCAGACTCACATGAATGAAACTCACAAGACTGAAAAACCAGAGGATCAGTCTATTGAAAATGAAAAATAGAGCTACATGTGAGGTCCATGTGACCAGTGCATTCCCTCACTGTATATAGGCCTCTGTATAAATCCAAATTTTAATCCATAATTATTTACTAAATATGGAATCCATGCAAAGAGAAATAATTAGATGACTTAAAAGAATGTTGGCCATATAGTAAAGACTCTAAATCTTAGTTGTGGTTATTATTAGTAGTAATACTTGCATACACCAGAGGGAGGTCATGAGTCTCCTAAACTTACTTTCAATGAAAAAGAATTTTTTTTTAAATCTTTTGTTATTTATTTGAAAGAGTTACAGAGGGAGAGGGAGAGACAGAGAGAAAGGTCTTCCATCTGGTTTACTCCCTAGATGATCACAACAGCCAGCACTGGGCCAGGCCAAAGCCAGACAGGGACCCAGACACTTGGGCATCTTCTGCTGCTTTTTCCAGGCCATTATCAGGGAGCTGGCTCAGAAGTGGAGTATCTGGGACATGAGCTGGTGCCCATATAGGATGCTGGCATCACGAATGGTAGCTTTATCCACTCTGCCACAATGCCAGCCCCACACAAAAAATATTTTATATGGGTGCATTTATGCATCTTTCCAGGGAAAAGTCTGTATCTTTAGTTAAAGTATCAAAGTGTTAGAGCTCTACAAGAAATGTTAAAAGCCATAACATACACTCAATATTATACAGAATCCTGGATACCTTGATGAAGCAAACAAAATTGGTTTGATATTATTTCAGAACTAAAGCTATTATGCTATGTTGCAGAATAGGTTATACTTAATCTATTTTGATTAATATAGCCTCTTAGTTTATGAGTCAGTTTTGAGGATTTTTTATCCACATAATATCTTTTTTTTATAAAGATTTATTTATTTATTTGAAAGTCAGAGTTACAGAGAGGGGAGAGGCAGAGAGAGAGAGAGAGAGAGAGAGAGAGAGAGAGAGAGGTCTTCTATCTGATGGTTCACTCCCCAACTGGCTATGACAGCCAGAGCTGCACCGATCTGAAGCCAGGAGCCAGGAGCTTCTTCCCAGTCTCCCACGTGGGTGCAAGGGGGCCCAAAGACTTGGGCCATATTCTACTGTTTTCCCAGGCCATAGCAGAGAGTTGGATCGGAAGTGGAGCAGCCGGGACTAGAACCAGCGCCCATATGGGATGCCGGCGCTTCAGGCTAGGGCATTAAGCCACTGCACCACAGTGCCAGCCTCATAATATCTTTTCTTAAAAGCTTTATAGGGCTGGCGCTGTGGTGTAGTGGGTAAAGCTGCCACCTGCAGTGCCGGCATCCCACATGAGCACCAGTTCAAGTCCTGGCTGATCCACTTCAAATCCAGCTCTCTGTTATGGCCTGGGAAAGCAGTAGAAGATGATTTAAGTATTTGGGCCCCTGTACCTGCATGAGAGAACCAGACTGGAGGAGGCTCCTGGCTCCTGGCTTCAGATGGGCACAGCTCCAGCCGTTGTGGTCAACTGGGGAGTAAACCAGCAGATGGAAGACCTCTCTCTCTGTCTCTCCTACTCTCTCTGTGTAATGCTGACTTTCAAGTAAAATAAATACATCTTTTTTTAAGAAAAAAAAAAGCTTTATGTATTTATTTGAGAGGCAGAGTGACAGAGACAGAGACAGAAACAGAAAAAGAGAGAGCGCGAGCGAGCTTCCATCCACTAGTTCATTTCCCAAATGGCTACAACAAACAGGTCTGGACCAGGAAGAAACCAGGAAAGGGAAACTGCATCCGGGTCTTCCACGTGGGTGGCAGGGGCCCAAGCACTGGACTCAACATCCGCTGCCTTTCCAGGTGTAGTAGCAGGAAGCTGGCTGGGAGGCAGAGCAGCCGGGACTCAAACCAGCACTGATACGGGATACGAGCTTCGTAAGCGGCAGCTTACCCTGCTATGCCAGCATGCTGCCACCATGTCTCTTCTATAAGTTTCTAAGCAAATCCTGCAATCCTTTTTGCAAATCCAGTAATTTATTTCCCCTTAGTTCATTCAAAGGATATCCTTTCGGGGATGACATTGTTAACATTCAGTTCTTCAACTAGGGTAATCAATGGCACACAGTGGCACCTGTTCTCCTTTGTCCATAGGGTGTTACCTTGGTAACAGCTAACAACAGTGCACTAAAAATCATAGCTTCAGCTTCCCACTCTTCCCTAGGTTATCTATAAAGGAAGGAAGAATATTTCAATTCAAGGGAGTCTATCTCTTTTTAAATTTGCCTTTCTGTCAGAACAGCCTTCAAAAGTCCCTTGAATTATAACTTTTTAAAGGATGTGTCACAAATCTGTGTCCAGGAGGACCTAGATCAGGGACATCCAAAGTTTGCTTCTCTGTATTCATCCTATGGAAGACCTACTATGTTATAGCACTTTTCTAGGCACCAGAGTTACAGGATGAACAGGGATTTAGCATATAATAAGGGAGTGAAACCCATGAATTAAAAATAAAATGGCGCATGCTTTAATAGAGGAATATGCACCATGGCAGGGTCAGGGGATGGAACAAAGGGTCCCAAGGGAGGTGTCTCCTGAAGGACGAGGAGCTGTGGAAGAACACGTGCTAGGGAAAGGGCTTTCGTTTCAAAGGGACCTCTTGTGCAAAGGCTTTGAGGAGACGGCTTCCCGAAATATGAAGGGTTTCAGAGGGAAGGAGGAAGATACCTGTAGGCGGAGATAGACAGAGGAGGACGTAGGGGAGCGTCTTCCTGAGAACCCTTGTTTTCTCTATGAAGCAGCAGGCAGTGTCATCCGAGGTGAGGAGACAAGGATGGAAGAGAAGACGCAAAGATAGCACAGACGTTTTGTGAAAGGGAAAATGGAGCTAACCATGCACACCGAGTAGTAGAGATCCGCTGTGAGAAGCAGTTACAGAGCTCTGATGTCTCTCTGCCCATTAAGTTAAACTGACCATCCTTTCTTATCTCCTCTTTTTTAAAAATTATTTATTTGAAAGGCAATGAAAGAAAGGAGAGAGAGAGAGAGAGAGAGAGATCTGTCTGCTAACTCACTTCCCAGATGACTGCAACACAGCCAGGGCTGGGCCAGTCTGAAGCTGGGAGCCAGGAACTCCATCTGGATCTCTAGTGGGTGGCAGGAACCCAAGTACTAGGGCCGTTACCTGCTGCCTCCCAGGCACATTAGCAGGAAGCTGGCTTGGCAGCACAGAGTAGCCAAGACTCAAAACCGGCACTCTGATATGGGCTGCGGGGTGTAGCAAGCAATGGCTTAACTTTGCTGCACCACAATAGCCACCCCTTCTTTATCTCCTCGATTGAAATTTCCAACTCGTCCAATCTTATTTTTACATAATTTCTGTAAAAGCGTTATCTTTCTGCAGCCCAATAGTCTCCTTGGAATTTTTGTCGCTTCATATTTTAATTTCAAAAGCCATTTTTGAGCACCCACGGCATAACTGGTTGCTACAGAGCAAAACACAATGTAGCCTGCTCTTAAGGAGCTTATTGATAGGGCATAGGAGATGGATCGAGAAAGAATATAATAATGAAGTAAATTATAGTTCTTTTGTATTTATTTATTTATTTGAAAGTCAGAGTTACACAGAGAGAGGAGACGCAGAGAGAGAGAGAGAGGTCTTCCATCCGCTGGTTCACTCCCCAAAAGGCCTCAACGGCCGGAGCTGTGCCAATCCGAAGCCAGGAGCCAGGAGCTTCTTCCGGGTCTCCCACACGGGTGCAGGGGCCCAAGGACTTGGGCCATCTTCTACTGCTTTCCCAGGCCATTGCAGAGAGCTGGATCAGAAGTGGAGCAGCCAGATCTCGAACCAGTGCCCATATGGGATGCCAATGCTTCAGGCCAGGGCGTTAACCCGCTGCGCCATAGCACCGGCCCCCTAGCCATTTCATCCAACTGAGATGACCTGAGATGACTTTATTGCTTTACTGCCCCTTCATCTGCCTGGTGTAGCAAACCAACCTTCCAACTTCCTGACTACTGTTAGTCTTAACCGCTTGACTGCTACTGCTTTGATAGCGATTCACTACAAAATGATTGTATGTTCTTCTTCCTCTGTGGACCTGATAAATCTTAGCCTATCCCATCCAACCTAGGGATCTTCTAGTCCTAACCTCTGAACCATTGAATCTAGCAGCAGTTTATCTCAGCAAACCCTTTACCAGAGAACGTCTAGCTTCATCAGCCCCCAGCCATGTATTTAACCTCATACCTGTCAGCCACGTATTCAGACACCAAGCCGCAAGCTTAGAGTGCCAGAACCTGAGCACTTTGATGGAGCAGGCACAGGCTGAATTGACTCTGTAACTATAGTGTCTCAGAGATAAAGCCATAATGCTGAGTACAGCTTATTTTGATCAAGTGTAGCCTTTTATTGATGACTTCTGAGCCCAGGTTGTTTTCTGCACCAGCTCAAATGATCAAGTTGCTTTTGTTCTTCATTCTGTTAATGTGGTTTATTACATTTATGATTTATGTTGAACCACCCTTGCATTCCTGGGATAAATCCTTCATGGTCATGGCGTATAGTCCTTTTAATATGCATCTGGATTCAATTTACTGCCTACCACCATAATTTTTTGAATCCACATAAGACCCTGTATGAGCTAATCTTTTCAATATCTAAATTAGAATAGACTTTGCCTATCCATAACAAAGATAGTTCCAAGATTGTTCTCACTGCAGATTTATAACCAGCACAACATCGAAGGATTCCAATATACAGTTAATGAACAAGAAAGAAATTCTTAATCTGTCCCATTTCATGGAGAAAGTTGGGTATTTCTTACTCATTAGTCTAGAATAGTGTCTGGTATGTAAATATTTTTGATAAATGAATGAATTAATTCAGTGTTTACATTTTGTAAAAAAAAACAAAATTTGCTGAAGTTTAAGAATTAGTCTAGGCCTGTGCTTTTTCAATACTAACTTATTATAAAAAAAAAAAAAGTCAAACAAAACATGGACTATTTGCATAAGAATCACAGAAGCGTGAACTAGGTGGTCATGGGGTGTATAGCAGTTCCAGACGACATCCTACTCCATGTTGGATGAGCAGGCTTGTTTGGAATATGCATCTACTCATCTCCTGTCACCTCCACAGAAAGCCTGCATTGTGATAGCAGACATGGCTGTGTGTAGCCAATGTCATGGAACCTGAAGATGTGTTTCATTAATTCAGCTTTCAGGCAGATCCCAAAAAACCCATCGGGGGACACATTCTGGCTCATGCTTCAACAACAAGAATAAGCCTGCGAAAGGGAAGAGGAGAGCTGAGAATTGCCAAGATTTATGACAGGTAAATATTTTCCTTTTCTTCCTCAGATTCTTGTACATATGGTATTAAACAATTGTCTCTTGAGAGTCTATGATTATTCTACTGGAAGATGCTACCTGTTTGAATTCCTCTCCCAATTTTTTCAATTGATTGAGAAGTCCCTACTATGTGCTAAGTACTAGGGATTCAGGAATTCTGTTAACACATAGACATGGTCCCCGACCTTTGAAGGCACCCAGTGCAGCTAGATAAGGAAACATCAATTCCAACTAGAGTCCTAAGTACGAATGTTGTACAGAAGAGCAACATTTGGGAATTTAGTCTCCTTTCTTTTCTTTTTTTTTTATTTTTTTTTATTTTTATTTTTTTTTTTTTTGACAGGCAGAGTGGACAGTGAGAGAGAGAGACAGAGAGAAAGGTCTTCCTTTGCCGTTGGTTCACCCTCCAATGGCCGCCGCGGCTGGCGCGCTGCGGCCGGCGCACCGCGCTGATCCGATGGCAGGAGCCAGGAGCCAGGTGCTTTTCCTGGTCTCCCATGGGGTGCAGGGCCCAAGCACCTGGGCCATCCTCCACTGCACTCCCTGGCCACAGCAGAGAGCTGGCCTGGAAGAGGAGCAACCGGGACAGAATCCGGCGCCCCGACCGGGACTAGAACCCGGTGTGCCGGCGCCGCT